GCTAATAACTTCCTAATAGTTCATTTCCATGTAAGCATTTGTTGTAGCTGACCCAGAATGTTATATGATTACAAATGAGAGAGAGGGAAGGTAAGAAAATCCTTAAGAGAGTTTATAAAATAAAATGCAATCCACGTTCTGAAAGAATGACAAGTGTTCTAATTCATCCCACTTAGTTACTTGATTCAGGAACTGAACAGCACAGACACGTTGCTGTATTTCAGAGGCAGCTGCAAACTTAGCATGATGCCACATAGAAGAGGTATGAATTTTCTCATCATCAATGGGCACAAACTAAAAAGTAGGTCTAAAAGAACTACCAGATGAAATTTAGATCTCTGGGTTTTGTTCTCGCAGCTTCCCTGGAGAAAAGTGAAGTCATGAGGAGAAAGAACGCTTCAGTGAAAGGGGAATTGTTTCCTGGCATACAAAACCTGAACTTCTTGTGCACTGGTTTTGTGTGTAATGGTCACAAGCACAGCCTGAAAGTCCAGATCCTGTGCTCAGGTGCCTGGTGGCAGACACCTGCACTTTACCAGTGGGGCTGTAAAAAGCTGGACCAAATTATTCAGTTCAATCCAGTTGCACACTTAAGGCCAAGATAGGCAATAATTATGTGAATAAAGTCCCGTCTCAAATTGCTGCACATGCTCAGAATTTTGCAGCCTTTGGTGATAAAATTTAAAATCGGGAGTACATTTACTTGCATGGCAAATATCACTCTGCAAGTCTTGGGAAAGAGTGACCTTGCCTTTCCCCAACACCAGTGGTGCTGTGTGCCCAGCTGCATTTATTGTGTGACTGTTACACTTAACAGCAAACCCGCAGGTGCCACTAAAATGCACTCGTGGGAGGTGGTGGCTTTGATTTTGGCGAGCTGCTTTGACTGAGTTCCATACTAGTTGTTGAGAATGAGTTGCTGGTTGTTTCCCACTGAACCTATGATAATGCTTTTCCTGTTCTGTGGCACTGTCTGCACAAACCAGGATACCTTCTGGGAGAAATGTATTTCCCTGTTTTGGAAAGCAGACATACTAGGAGGATATATTGCAATCATTTTGGCGTGGGCTGCTCACATTCTTAACTACAGTGGCTGAAAAAGAGAGATTAGCTCTTCTCCCCCTTTTTTTCTGATTCCAAGCTAAAGTTTTAACTAAACCAGCATGAGAGTTGTCTTCTGTCCTCTCTGTTAACTGCCTATGATTTCTTTGTGTGTCTTAGGATGTCTGTGTTGAAATAAAAAAAATACAGCACGGGGGAAAAAAAGACAAAGATCCTCAATAGTTTAACAGTCATCTGACCATGGAAAAGTTCTCAGCTGCAAACACAGAAAGGTAGAAGTAGCCTCACTGGATCAGAACAGCAGTTAATGTAGCGCTCGATGTCCAGTTTTCAACAGTGTCAGTGTCTCATGCCTTTGAGACAAAAAAATGTTTGACAGGCAATTACAAAATAACTTTCATGCAGCTTTACTTCCAGACACCCTATAAAAATGTCTTTTAAAGTTATTTTGTAACTTTTACTTCCTAAAAGGAAATTTTATTTGTAGGCAAATATGCTTATGTAAATATAAGTACTTTAGGATGTGAGTCTAAGTCCTACAAATCCACACCATACTATTAGAAAACCAGAATTTTTAATTTCAATAGGTGTAGACTCTAATAATCTGTAAGTCTACTTCCCCTTTGAAAAAAGGCCAGTATATATTTGTCAGGCTCTATAGAAGACTATTAGATGACTAAGACAGGAAAATACCAATAAACTGAATAGATATATTTATTAAAAAATCTATAATCTCTCATTAAGGAGAGTGAGCTGATATTATAAATACTTATCTGGGATTCAGTTCTTTGTACTGCTGTAGACCTTCTTTGTGACCATGAGCAATTCTAATAAGTTTTATTAATAAGTTTTAGTTTCTCATTTGTGAAATTAGAAAAATAGCCTTGCTCCTGAGAGTATGGAGAAAAAACTCGATTACAGTTTTCACTTACTGCTTCAGTCCTGATAGAGTTGAAGGACCATGTGGTCTCTCAGGATGCCTCATGTTTCTTATGTCATTAGGTCTTCATTAAACACCTGTTACCATCTAAAGAGAAGGCAGATGGAAGGTGCACAAGCTCTACATTTCAGCTTGCCTCTTATATGTATGTGTTTGGGAACCTTTTAAACTTGGTTTCCAAAAATAAAGTAGAATAGGAAAGTATTCCCATGTCCAGTTCATATAGTTCAGATTTAACATACTCTTTAGAAAATCTCTTAAGTGTCTCCAGGCTCTTTTTAGCACCCAATAGCACACACAAGCTTGGCCTGCAAATGAATTTTGCAGGTTACACCAATTCTTGTTGGTGTGTGGGGAAAGACTCTATTTCTATAATTTCAGTCACTCTGTCTGTATGACCATATCCTGTAGCATAATTTTATGAGAAGGAAACATTTCAAGATTTCCACTGTATAATGTACCATGTAACTGGAAAGACAGTACATTGCATAAGTAAGTTTTGTTTAGATATATATCCAACAGGTAATGAAGTCTGTGAGAGTTGCACTGTTCTCTCAGGCCCTTTTATCAAAAGCCATTTCAGTGGGGAATAAAAGGGCTGCAGACAAAAGCAAACAAACAAACAACTCCACATTATTTTTAAATCTTTTCTAGATAGCTCAAAACTATTGCCCACTACTGTCAGTTACTGGAGCAGCCTGTGTAACCACAGAAATATAAACTGCTCATAATATTCTGAGCCAAATGTTTTCATGTGGTGAAGGTATTGTCTTTACTGAGCCTGCCCCAGGGATGTTTATGACTCAAAAGTAAAATTATTTCTGCATTCAGTTAGAGAAAATTCTTGATTGTCAAGGCCGTAAAACCAATAGCCTGTTTCTCAAAATGCAAGTATTGCTAATAAGAGGCACAACTGATCTTGAGCCTTTCTTATTGTTAACCAGTCCTGTTGACTGGGAAGAGAAATAGTTCCTGTAAGTCACACCATGAAGAAGTATTGTGTGCCTTTGAACTCATCTTTCCCTCTGCTCTCTTTCTTTTCTTGCTTTATTCTGTGGAAGTATTCTTACTATACTTCTCTCTCTTTTTCACCTTCACAACTCCCCTGCCATCGCCACTCAGCGTCATCCTATTTTGTACACTCGGGGAAAAAACTTCTGTGAAATCCTGACCTCAAAGTCAAGTGACTTTTTTCCCCCTCCTTTGGTATAGCCACAGCTAATGGGGCAAAAAAGTTTGAATCGGATTAATAACAACAACAGAGGCTTAACGCTGCTTCAGCCTGACCCCAGCTGCCTGCCTTTTGGTCTTGGCTGTGATCCCTCATGGAACACTTGGGAACAAGCAATGCTTTATTCCTTTCAGGCTGTGTCTGTGTTCTTTAACGTCCTCGCATGGCTCCAGCTCTTGCTGTACTAACACTTGCCACACACACAGAGTCTCTAATCCATCCTCCTCTACCTTGTTTCATCCTGGCTTTGCTCTACCTGACACTGCAAGGAACTCACTACTTGGTTACCACAAAGACAGTGTTTGGTTTCTCATTGCTTCAGAGTGGTGAGCTGGTTGATCTCATCGGGGTATTTGTTTTTAAAACAGGCTCTTCCAAACCAACCCCAGTAACATTTGCAGTCAGGCAGCAGCCTCTGAGGGGCATTTCAGATCCACTTCTAGGTGTGAAAATCTGACTTCGATTCATATATTTTAGGGGTTACATTTCAGTTAGAGATTTCAAATATCTGTAGAGAACACCTGTGCCCAAACCTTTGCTGATCTAAACTGGGTTGGTTTCTATAACTTTGTTAGAACTGAACTAAGGAAAGAGTATGTGACTATACATATATATGTATCTGTAAGTACATAAACACAGAGACACGTAATAGCAGAGAAAATATTAAGAATAGCCTTCCAAAGGTAATGTAAGTTAATGATTGGTGCCCAACAAATCCATATAAATACATGTTTTTTGGTTTGTTGTTTTGTTTTTTTTTTTCCAAAGGACACTTCAGAAAGAAGGTGCAGTTGGATAAATGAGAACATTTGCTTTGTGTTTTGTAATTTTAGATCTCAGTTAAGAAAATTGTTCTCATTTGGCATATTTCAGCTTTAAACTTGTCATTTTCAGCACAGTTCCTTAAATAGGAAGGGACACAACCACCCATGAAATTGCTAAATATTGAGACTATCTCAATTACTTAACTAACTGGATTTCAAACTTAGGAGTTTGAGGCTAATGGATTCTATTCTTTATGAAAATACTTTTGTGTTAACTCCTTACAGATACACAGTTGCTTGCACTTAAACTGGTCAGTTATTTCTGTCAGCATGTGTGAGTGTTTACAGAATAACAGCACAGTTCTCTATCAGAGAAATCAAGGCTGATTTACTCCTCACCTCAGTGAAGGAATGATTTCTAATTGAGGGAACTGTCCATGCAGGAATTGATTCTAATCTGATTTACATTGAGAAAACTAGTGCTTGGATAGGACAGAGAATTTTGAAGTGATACCAGGCACAAGAAATCCTTCTTGCATGAGTCTTTGTTACCCATTTTTCCCATTTAAGTCTGATTAGTTTTACTGCTTGGATTTGGCATCAAAATATGCTCTACTGGAATATTATTGAAATTCTTTTTTTAAGGGAACTTATTTAAATCAAAACTATTCCTGAAATTATACGCAGACATACAACACCTAATTTGTAACTGTTAATTTTCCTTTTACTTTATTATTGAAACAAAATTGTTTGCAACTGGTAAAGAAGCATATACATTATAAGAAGCATTATGCAGTAAATTTATATATTTGGTGGGTTTCACCTGGGAAGCTAAAGAGATTTCTCACAACTATATTTATGAGCAACCACTCTAGGATGCTTTTTGCAACCAAACATTTCTCCTCAGCCCATTTTCTTTCTCCTGGGTTGTTTTTGGGTGGGTTTTCTTGCCACCACTGGCAATTGCATTTATTTCATTCATACTGTATCCCTCCTTTCACAGAGACAAGGAAAATGTTGCAGCAGCATCAGAAAACAGGTAATGTTTGCTGTGTTTGACTTACTTCCTATTAAGAGTTTATCTCCACTTCCTCCATATTGTTCTTACCTCAAAACCATGAAATCTGTAGACTGTTTGAGCAGATGATGACGGTGGAGGTTTCAACTAAGTGGGTTCACTGGGCATTTTTTTTTAATGCAGACTTCAAGAAGCACTGTGACATGGGACAGGTGGGGATCATGTTTCTCAGAACTTACAAACCTGAAAAATAAGAAGTTTTTAGCAAATATTCTTGAAGTGGAATATTGTCAGTTTGTGATTGAGTTTTAAGAACCATTTCCATTTTAAACTTTGCCTAGATTGTTCAAGATATTTTTAAAATCTAAATAAGATTATACTTTTGGTATTTTAAGAACACTTACATGTCAGATTCTTGCATATATTGATTGCTCCTCAGTGGGTTATGAGGTTCAAAACATAGTCTCTCTGTAAGCAAGTTCTTTCACGTCAAGTTGTTTTCTCCCAAAGGATCTCAGCACATTTTGCAGTTACAGAGAGAAATTTGCTGTTTTCTATTAGTTCATGCACTAAACCACACAAGTACTGATACACAGGTACTTCTTGAGTGAATCTGACTGATAGCTTCATGGAGCAAAGAAATGCCTCTTCTCAGTTTGTCATGAAGCTAATTCTGTCTCACTGCTTTCCTCTGTCCTGTTGGTTCCTGCCTCAGACGTGCAACCACTTTGTATTTTTTTCTAAGACTGCTCACATTTGAACAAAGGTTGCATAGAGTTAAAACCTGAGTGCAAGTGTTATTTGTTACTAGCTACACAAGCAATGGCCACCGGCCCTTGAAATAGTAGAGAAAATTGATTTTTATTTTTAAATTAATTATGAAAATAGAAGGAAAGAGATGCCTTGATTCCTGTATATAAACTAAAGTGTATAAAACAAGGAACACGTTAGCATTTCACCCACAGTTTCATTTGTTTAAAACCATCTACAGGACTATGCAGCTGTTCCACTGAAATCTCCTTTTCTTTTAATTATTATTTTATTTTACCAGGAACGGTTTCTGATATATGAGTGGTGTTACTACATTGCCTTAATCTTGTGTGATCTTTCATACCATAGCTTTTTTCCACCTCCATTATCATCACAGCCTTGCTATGTGTCTTATTTTGATATTCATAGCCATACGGTTTCCAGATTTAACACAAGGTACCTTTTTTAATTCTTCATGCCTTTCCCGGTCTTAAGCAGTAATAAACTAATGAACTATCAAGATTTGTCATTACTTCATCTGCAATACCATGATGTTCCCCAGCTTCTTCTGTGGCTGGAATTCTGTCTCTTCCTCAAATACCTGCTACTCCCTGGGAAATGCCTCATTTACAAACCCCCTTGTAATCTTTGTTACCCAGGCCTGCAGATCCCGCGCATGCACCCCAGTATGTGACCTCCAGTATTTGGCATCCTCCTAAATCCTCCACCGGGGATGCCAACACTGACAGTGCCAAGCCAGTGGCCTCCAAGGGCTCTGTGAGGCTTGGAGCGGGTACAAGTCAGAGGGAGGTCAGGTTCACCTCTACTGGCCAGAAAGTCTCTCTTGCTTCATCCAGTAACCAAAGGTACACTGTGATGTGTAACTGCATAACTGACCTGGTTTGGAGCTTTGGAGTGGTTTGGTAATAACAACCTCTAACTCCTTCAGATGGAAACGCCAATTGCCTAAGAGGAAGGTGTCCAAGTTCTACGAATTCCAGCAACTTCCAGTTCGTGTGGGTGTTACATTTTCAGTGGCTCTCTTAGGGATTGCAAATAAAATACAGAGAAGAGTCGTAAAACACCTTCAGCAGAGAAACAGCAGCTGATATTTCTCTATTTTCACTGCATTCCTACAACCATTACCATTTTCAAATGTAAGACTCTTCAGTGTTATGACTTTCTCTAAACATATTCTCAGGCACTTTTTTCTACAAGTGCTACAGAAGGAGATACTTTTTTTCCCCTATCCATTTTTGGTTTTGTTCCTTATATGTTCAGTTCTTTACAAGTGATATGTTGGAGGATTAGAAACCAAAAAAACCTCATGCATTACAGAAAAGAGACTAAGTCCTGCTTTAATAATCCACTCGATTGTTATTTGGATAGCAAGTCTCAGAACTTAGGACTTTACTGAGAGAAAGAAGTATAATTTGCACTTATTTTTTTAAATCTTAGAGTGCATTTGTTGCTGTGTTTTCTCATTATGGTTGTTAACCATTATTATCCTCTTAACCTCTACTGATCTGTGTTCCTTCTCATGAGTGAAAATCAGCTGAGAAGAGATGTGTGTTTGTTTTCATCCACCTAACTTAGTTTTATGTTTGTTACCACAAATATGAAGATGTTTGATTTTTTCGATTTTCTTTGATTTTCCTTAAAATAGAGAGTAGTGTAAAGATTTAAAATCTACAAAATGGCTGCATTTAAAAACCAACCAACCAAACAAAAACCCCTCTATTACATGTAATAATGAAGCTGTTACAATAGATTATCTATTTTATAAAGCAGCACTCACATTTATCAATTCTTAAAATTCTGCTGCACTTGAAGAACTAAAAAAAAATCAGGCTGAAAATCTAGAAAGTAGGCAATCTTAAGGGAAAAAGAAAGTTAGGTTGTTTTATTTGACTATCTAAATATTTATTTAAAATGTACAGTTATTAAACTAAACCCAGTCAAGTTAGTCTTCAGATCTTCCTAAAAACTGAGTTGAGAATGTTACCAACTGCATATTATTTATGTAACAAAATCACCCTTGTTTTTAAGTTTATATCTACTTCATTTATATTTATTCCAATTCCTTGTTGTGTTAATTGATATATTCCACCATGAAGGAAGGCAGTCAAGCCCCTAACACTTTAACCATATAAAAAGAAATATTCCAAACACCATGCGAGCTAAAATTTGTTTGTATTTTCTTTAAACTATAAAACGTACTCCAGTATATTTGCATTTATTTTATTTACATGGGTTGTTCCATTCAAATCTGTCTCCACACAGGTCCTTGTTCTCACATACAGTTTTTTTGGGTTTTCTACTTTCTTTTCAATATGTATCACTGAATATGTATTTTGATTAACATTTTGGAGATTGTTACGATTAAGTAAGTTCACTGTCCTCTTCTCTTCAAGGTAGGGAGTCATGAATCTTTTGAAATCTGTAGCAAATTCCCTTTGACATCAGTGCAAATAGACAAAATAGGTGGAATCCTAGTTTGTGTTCGATTTTAAGTCATATATGAAGTTCCATTGTTATGTCCAGCATAGTTTCACTCCTTTCCTGTTTGCCAGATCAAAGATATGTAAGTACTACATTGTGACTCCACACCTTTTCATGTGACAATTCCACTGCCCACTGTGGCACAGGGGAAAAAAAAATCCTGTGGGTATTGAAACTCAGTAACAGACTCTCCTGTGACCTATAGCTGTGATGGATAATATTCAGCTACTCTGCTACATAGGCTTTGTAACTGATAGTCTATTTGTTAATGGGAAGAATTTACATCATAAAAATGGAAAAACTGCTCTGAATTTCAGCTGCATGTTACGATGGACAAACTTTTGCAAAACCGTTGCAAAACTTGGTGTAATGATTTGAAACCCAGAACTGCACACTGGGTATTTTCAGGACCCCACTTCTTATGTACATAATTGCAGATGAAATTCATAAGGGAGAAAATACTGATTTTCTGCTTTTGTTGTGGGTTGCATTCCACTTTGAAATTTATGGGTATAACAACCACGCTTCTGTTTCAGCTAATCAAACCAAAAATAACTGACACCATCATTTAGACTACCGAGCCACACAAGAAGAGGAGAAGGACAGGGGAAATGGGACAGTCCCTTTGAGCACAAGGGGTATCACAAATTCTGAAGTACCAAGCCCTCACTCTAGGTCCTCAGGAATGTAGCTTGCCAAGTTAGTGCTTTTCAGAGAAGCAAAAGAAAATATGAGATAGAATGGCTGAGCCAGAGGAAATTTGCACAATGGATGGTAAATCTGCTAAGGAAAAAATGCTGAGAGAAAGAATGCTTGAGGGCTAAGGTTGGCTGAGAAACAGTTGTGGAACTGTAAGGTTTCTTTTGTTATTTGATATTTACTGTGCTTAGAAAGGAGTATTTGGGGCATTCTTTGTACCTTGTGCAAGAGAAGCACAGAATTCCATCACCCTGGTAGGAGTGATTTGTAAGAACACAGAGATGTGGCAATATACTTATGAGTTAGGTCTAAAGAACTCTAAATATATCCATTATTTTCTTAGGCCACTGCTTGTGGACAAGACAACTATGTAGAGTTGCTCTCATTTAAATAAAAAAAAAAAAGTGTATTTAAATAACTACTAATGAAAATTAATCTACAGCACAATAATGTGGCATCAAGAAAAACACCCCTTATGCCTAGGGGACATATGCTTATATTGTCATCAAAGTTTCTGCCCCAAAGTAGTGTTTCAATGTGTTGTTTTTCAGTGGCTTATTTGTTCTGTGGATAATAATTAATAAGATCTACAGTAAAATCTGCCTAAACACAAAATAATTGTTTTTCTCTTTTCTTCTTCCTCCTTTTTGAATTTTAAATTACTTTAAATTATTTTTATTTGGTTTATTGACAAGCAAATTATGAATGGACCTATTATTTATATTATTATTCTGTTGATATTAAGTTCAGTAAAACAGTCATCAAATAATTTGAGTGTTTTTAGTGATTTTATTTTGGTTTGGTTTTTTTCATTTGATATAAGAGCTAATGGAAGACAACAAACTGAATCTCCCAAAAGATTGGTTCTTTTCAAAACAGTGGATGGCTTTGACTAAACTATGTTGAAAAGCTGTCTGATAACTTGGCCCCATTTGTCTGTCTGTAAGGGATGAGTAATTCAGGCAGAAGTATGTTCATAAGCCCTGGCTGATGAGAGACACTGGTACTAGGTTACTAAAATGGCCACAGGATACCAGACTAGATTATTATTATTCATTTAAATTCATTTGTTTGCAATCAAATAAAGAAAAAATAAAGAAAATATTAATATTCCTTTGCTCCAAGCTATATGTGCCACAATAGTACAAGAGGGCCATGAGGATAACGACTCATGCTCATCACCTAAGTGGTTTTAAAACTACCACAGTAAAATTTTGTGCTACATCATCCCCTTGTATCTTGTATATTATTCTGTGTTTAAAAGGGCATTTCATTGTGCTGGATGGCATAATGTAAGGTGAATTTAGGTTAGAGATGAAGGACTCCTTTTAAACATCTTTCCACTACCCAGGTTGCACAAAACTGATGGAACCCAACACAAAACTGTGCTGACTGTATTTCTAAACTATCAGAATTTGCAGAAAACCTGCTGGCACAGGACTGTGATAATATCCTGTAAATTGCTTTTCTTCATCTAACTAAAAAGTTTACGCTAATACAAACTTCAGTTCCAGGAGTAAATATTGGATGCAATTTATCCGAGCTCAAAGAGTTTGTGACGCGCTCTTTGCAACCATTTAATTCCTCCATACAGCATTGCCTACCACTGGCTTCACTGGGAGCAGGACTGAAGTGCTGGGTAACACCTGGGATAAATTTCAGTCAAGCAGGACCAAAGCTGCATTAGAGCTTTACTGCACAGCAGAAAAGGCTGAATAAATGTCTTTTTTTCCTTTGCATAACTGTGCTTTTCCCTCAGTAACCCAGCCTGCTACTATGTTTGCAGGTTCAAACATAGTAGGTTTTGTGCTCTACATTTAAATGTGTGCCTTCTTAAGATGCTTCTTGTTTTATTTAATTTAAGTCTAATTAGCACCCCTGTTGAGCATGCTCCGGTGTCTACCAGTTCTGCTGCTCCTGCACCACATGCTTCAGCACCTCAGCCTGCTGCTGCTGCTCAAAATCCAGCCAGCCTGATGACACCACCTGCAACCACCTCAGTAGTGCAGGAGTCGTTCTCCTCCTCCTTCCAAAGGTAATGCTTCATTGCTTTATCCCCCCGTATGGCCCTGGAAATGCTGCATACACATTCTTCACTTCAGAATGTGGTATGAAAAGCTGTCACCTGTTTTATATGCTTTTATAAATTTTGTTGGGTTGTGGGTTTTTTTAATTTTGAGGCACACTGTTCATGTTTGCAAAGAATTTGCAAAATAAAACTGCCCCAAAAATGTAACTCCATTTTCAGAAAGCAAGTCTAGGGTTAAAACTAGAAATGTTTTTTCACCGCTTGTAATAAAGCCAAAACAGCTCTTCATAATAGTTACAGTGAGTAGAGATTCTTTTAATAGTCTTTCTGCAGTAGGACATGAAAAAGAAAATTTAAAAAATGTCATTTACTCATGTGGTTGAGCTCACCCTATCACAGCAGATGTCAGTGAAACATGGTGGACATTTGATGATTGACTTGCTCTGTAAGTTAAGTCAAGTAATTTCTATTAGATCTATCTAATATTGTTTCTCTAATGAGAATTAGCCGTGGAGCTGAAGTGAGTTTTAAGGAGGTGAGCACTTGTAACACCTGTAGTACAGTGGGAGTTACAGCTGTGTATTAAAAGCTGTCAGACATCATGTGAGGAAACCTGTGGGATTTATACAGCTGTCACTTACATTACAGTAATTTTGGAGATAGTAAGGATGAATTCCTTTGGAGTGAATTATTCTTTTGTCTTTGGGGTTTGCTACATGAATATTCTGAAAAGATGTATGTTTTAGCATGCTTTAAAAATCAGAGGAAAAGCACACTTCCAGTAATGTAAACTACTTTAATCAAGACCTCAGCTGTAGCCAGTTATCTTAGATGTGTGTAAATGGAATTGGAAATGTTCTCTTGGCTCTACTTCTTGACTAATTTTTGCCAGTTGACTTGCATTATGTATGTATACCAGCTACCAATTCCTCACTTTGGTCAGTTTTTACCTAATCATGACCCACCAGGATCCAGTGTTTTTATTCCAGTGCAAGAAAAACAATCAGCCAGCAGAGGAGGTTTGAATAAGGTATTACTCTGTCATTCAGAACTGGGCTGTAAGGCACTTTCACATGAAATAATGATAAGGTTTAAGTAGCTTTTATCCCTCCGTTGAAATGGTAGCATGAAGAAAATGGATTAACTAGTATATGCTTCAAATTTAAAAAAAAAATGCCTCTACAAAACTAATCATTCCAATTACTTCTGTTTTAAATAGGAGAATCTTCTGTCTGGTACTGTTTGCATATTAAACTTTTATCTTGTATTCAGACTCAAACATCTTCAGATCTTGCAGATAAAAGCATGTATCATTGACAAAGTCCTGTCCTGTAATATTGTCTGTCTTAGTTATCAGTAGAGTCTGGTTTTAAGATTTTTACATAATTGTGTGCATTTTGTCTTGTGTTCTGTAGGAATGTGCTTGGTTGTGCTATTCTGTAAGTCTGCAGATGTATGCTACAGAAAACCTGTTCCTGGTAACTATGCAGCAGTGCTCCTGTATCTGAACGCCAACAGAGCTTGGTTGTGATGTCATGATTTTTGTCCCTGTTCAATCATTTTGTTCATGCTTTCATGCTTTTACTGTGTCTTCTGCAGAGTACTTGCAGCCCCCAGCTCTCTTTCACAGCCTAAGCCTTTCCATGGGTCCAAGAACATGTCATTAGCAGCTTCCACTATTTCATCTGCTATCTCATCTCAGTCTAGGTATATCTGTAAAGCTCTCTTAACTTAATTTGGTTTGATTTGTATTATGCTCTCTGATATAAGGTTTTCAGTTTCTTAAGAGATTGACTTGGCAGACTGTTGAAAGCATGATGTGTTTGAAGCAGTAGCCTCCTTCCTTATCTTTCACATGAAAACAGAGCTGGGAAACAGCTAAGGTTTAGATATGTGGATATGTGACCAACATGTCCTTTTGGAACAAAAGTATTTTGGTTGGTTGGTTCGTGCCGCTTTTGCCATCCTAAAATCAAAGTATTTGTCTAGTTACATTGGGTGGGAATGATGGACCTTCTTTTTTTTCTTGGTTAAAACATAGGATCACAAACCTTTTATGATGCTCTTAATCATGACTAGTGAAAGACCAGTGATAAGGCAAGGTAGCTTCTGCTATTGGAAGGAGAGGATGCTGCTGTACTGCCTCACTCCTAAGCCTTTTCACTGCTTTCATTAACACTCTGACAACACTAACAGAGGAGAAAGCAGTAGATTTTAAGATTTGGACAGTCTTCAGAAATAACAAAAAACTAGCAGTACTTTTGAGATTGTAATCATCCATGTCCCTCTTATCTTTATAGAAGAAGGTAGTTAGGAATCACCCAAAAGGGGATTTTTGGAATGAACAAAGTGTGCAAGCGTGATGGCGTCACTTCAAGAAGTATAATGGTCTTTCTCAGAAAATCACAGAAAATGGCAGTTCAGTGCTGTGCACAGGTAGTACTTGAAAGCAGTTTGGGTGGCTTCACATCACTGAAACCAGTGCAAAAATGAAACAGCTCCAGAACACAATGGAGAGTTTTCAGTTTTAGAATGTAAACGTGTCTGTTTACAGCCATGGGAATTACATAGAGGAAGTAATTCCAGGATGGAGCTAATAAAACATAAGAAATAAAATTAACTGCTGATGTAATTCCATTATTGGAGTGGAAGTACACTAATCATAACTAGTTTCAAGAGCTGGTGAATGTCACCGGAATGTTACTGGGAATAGAAGGTAAAACAGATGCAGAGGAGTTTACTGCCATTGACTTCTAGTTTTATGTGTGAACTTTCAAAATTCCAAAGTGATGAGCTATTTAGGGGTATCCATTAAGAGGACCTAATTTTCACATCATGAGAATCATAGAATTGTTTAAGAACCTCTAAGATCAAGTCCAACTGTTAAGCCAGCACTGCCAAGTCCACCACTAAACCACATCCCTAAGTGCCACATATACACATCTTTTAAATACCTCCAGGGCTGGTGACTCAACCACTTCCCTGGGCAGCCTGTTCCAATGCTTGATAGCCCTTTTTTTGGGTGAAGACATTTTTTTCCTAATACCCAGTCTAAACCTCCCCTGGCCAGCTTGAGGCCACTTGCTCTTACCATATTGCTTGTCACAAAGGAGAGTACTCTGCTTTTCAGAAGTAATACCTAACACTTTTTCGTTCAATCTTCTGGTACAATTAGGCTCTTAAGTGTCACCAGAAGTATTTAATCCACTGTTTGTTTTACTAACAAATCTCTTTTAGTCAGTTGAAATGATCACATATCTTTGTGAAAAGAGGGTTATGCATAGTTGTTGTAGTTGAAAGCCTCTTATCCTCAGGTAAGGTCCCTGGCTTTCAAAGCATTAATAACTGTGCATATTTGAGCTTGACTGAACACTGGCATGCAAAGCCTATGATTTCTTCTGAGCTACAGAAAACACTTGATCTTAGGGTTTCTCTCAGCTGAAGACTGAAATGTATCCATCAGTCAGAAGATGAAATTAAACTGAAACTTTGGTGACTGGCCAGACAGAGCCCATCTATTCACATTTCACCACTCTCCATCATAGGACCCCTATAAATCTTACATAAGAGCTATGTCTTCATTGCTGTCTTGGAAATTGTAGAATCACAGAGAGGTTTGGGCTGGGAGGGACCTTAAAGATCATCTAGTTTCAATACTCCTGCAATAGGCAGGGACAAGTTAAGCAACAACTTTACATATAAACAGCTAAACAATTAATGTAAATGTCATGGTTTTGACATTTTAAAACTATGAATTCATTTTTGTTTATGTATCAATATGGACTAATCAGTGTGAAACACAATTTTAATGAGTAATGAGGATAAAAAGATCACCTTGAGATGTTAAGACATTTGAATTGGAAGTAAATTTCCTGCACTAGATTGGCATGGAGCATTTTCTCCTTTCCTGCCCCTTTGAAAGGAAATGAGTTGGCTGGGGAGGCTGTGTGTCTCCATTCTTGAAGGTTTCCAAGACATCACTGGATAAAACATGGAGCAACCTCATCTGACCTCAGAGCTGGCCTTGCTTCCAGCAGGAGGTTAGATAAGACTCTTCCTGAGGTCTCTTCCAACCTGAAAGATTCTGTGAAGCTATGAAAAATCTCTGTCCTTCTGAAAAAGCAATGCTTTAATCGGACTACTAAAACCTCTTGCTTGTGCCTGGCAATGATTTAAGTCAAAGGCTTAAGATCTACAGCACATCAACTTCATGTGCTGCTGCCCTGGATGACACAAGGTTTGATGCCGACATACACTTCAAGCAGATGTTACTGTCTGAGCTTCAGCAAGCCTTGGGACATAAAGGCAAATAGGAAACTTGTAGGGCCTGTAAAAATTTGGTTCCCTGATCATCAGGTACAAGGAGCAAACTCAGTTTGGTTGGTTGGTTTTGGAGAGCTGTGTTGCAGTTGAAATATCTTTGTGAACTACTTCCATGTTTGTTTTAAAAACTGTTGTATGTTATAAGTAGCGTATTCAAACATAAGGGACCAAACTGGTTTCTAAACAAATTTATAAGTCAAATTTTTGAGCATCTGATAGTTTTCATTTAGAAGTTAAACAATGCTTTAGCATGCCAAAATATGGACTTAAAAATCCAGTTTCAACTTGACATACACCAGAGGAGCACTGAGCATTTCATATAATTTTATTCCAGAATAAAATATGGATGACCTTAGTTACAACTCTGTCCCCATCCTGGAAAACATTGTCAGGAAGATGAGGCCGAGATTTTACCACCATTGTTCCAGTGTTTGGGTTGGGTTTTCTTCCTTCTAGATGGCTGATAAAGATCCACCAAGAAAATGCAGGAGGATTTCTTGATATCTTAATATCCTTAACTATTTGAATGTAATTTAAAACATTGGTAGATGCAGTTCTATAGTAATTTTGCTTCTGTGAGCAAAGCCATGTGCATAACACCTAACCTGAGTAAAATCTTTCTAATGCTCCTAAAGAGGAATGTTTGAAGTAAGTCATTAATCCTGAACTGATTGTCTTACTCTCACATCTGAAATGTTATCTGTTTCACTTATGATCTTGCTTACGAAAAACAAAGCATAGCAGGAGAGTTCTAAATAAACTTAAAGCTCTTTATGCATCTGTTGTTCCATCTGGAGGGTAGAAGCAGGGGACCTCATGAGACAGCACTCTGGGAATGCAAAACCAGGAGAAACAGTGGAAAGAGTTACTATTATGGTTTTAAGAAAGGTATAGCTTCTGATCCAAGCACTGTGTCTGTGGTAAAGGGAAGAAAAACTTCTCCAGGAGTTAGGACAATAACTGGCATGTGAAAGGCTTCTGGTAATTGTGGCCAGTGTGGGCTGTGTTCCTGTGGGATGGCGTTGATGCCCCGTAGCCCTGCACTGCTCCACACTTAGGAGCTGTGTTCATTCTGAATCCTCTTGTTCCTCAGACCATACACTGTGCAGGCTTTTAAGTACTTCCTGTATTTGCATAAATGAGTCATTTATGTTCTGAAATGATGCTGTTTCCCCAAGGGAAAAAAAACCACCAAACTACCTGCTTACCTACAACTCTGTAACAGTAGAATGGTTCTGCAAGGGCACGGTTGAACATGATGGGTTTTTGCTTCAGCTACTCCAGCCTGTCTTTTCCATGGGGTTCTCCCAGCTGCTTCATAAGCTGGAAACTTACCTATCTTTGGCCTTTAGTTCATTCAAGGCTTGCTTCTTAGATTTGCTGTAATTTAAGCTTCTGACAATGACATAAAAAACCCTCATACTTATTTTTTTGTGCTAATACAAATAAATGGTGAATGTCAGATCCAACAGTCCAGTGGTTGAATTGAAATTCCACAACCAAATAACAAGCAGACCTGGATGAGAGTGGCTTAGGGAGCAATATACTCACCTCCTTTACCTATGTTACCATTAGTCAGGGTTCACTGTGATTCCTAGCTTTAAATGAGAAAACAGAATGTAATGTAATACCAATCTTATATGGTTATAAATATGTACATGTTGTTTACTTTAGCACTTAAGAGCACCTCTTATTCATAGGAAGTTTATGGTAGGACAAGATATCCCAAATTTTTTTGTATATTTTTTCAAATACAACTTTTGTCTCATTTTAGTTTCAACCGGCATTCTTCCACCTCCATCAGCTACCAGTCACAGAAGAGGTATAAAAACGTTTTGTGCAGCTACTCTACCTTAAAAGCACTTAACAAACCAGTTTATTGCTGCTAGTAAGCATCTAGTAAAGCGTTAACATAAAAATGATCTGCTTAGAAATTTACTCTTTCTTTTTCTGACAACTAATAGTTTTCAGAGCCGGTATTTAATTTGCTGCCTGTCACATGCCATTGACTGCTACAGATAAATTCAGTAGGGTTGCTTTCACTGCTTTTCAGTGCTTCCTGATCCATTAAAGCATCCTCGATCCTTAGGACATCTTTTTGTTCTTTCTTAATTACCTTCTTTCTTTCTTTCTATTTTTTTTCTTTCTTTTAATCACATGCTATTTCATTCTCTTCAGCAGAAATTCTGATAAATCTTTTAACTTCACTAAAACCCTTAATGATGTAGTGTAACACTTTATTTCTCTTTGACAAGCCTTTTTATCTTTCTTACTGTATTTAATGTGCATCATGAACGTGTAAAAGAGTTCAATACTTCTTTTAATTTTGCTATGACTTTGGTACTATGAATGTGGGGGTGTTTGTGTGTGGTTTTGATTTGTCAACATCATTTCTCTGACCACAGGAGGAAATCCAGTGGCATGGTTTCGCTATGCTGTTACATTCGGGAAACACTTGAATTTTGAATAACTCTTTTTCTTTATGACAGTCTAAGTATCACTGACCCGGCTCAGAACTTCTTTATGTATTTTGTGCATTAAGGGAGATTCAAATGAGTCTTTCCAACCACTGGACCTGTGCATCTGGGAGACTTTCCTGACTGTATGACATCTTCAGATTAAGGCTGTATGACACGTGATTTAAAATCTTTTAATCCACATTGTAAATACTGGGCACTGATCTGTCTGGTTTACCTTGAATAGCAGATTTTTAGACCTAGGAAAATTCTTTAGCTAGTGTGTTAAGGTAATCTTGAAAGCTGCATGTGAAGCCAATGTCCCTGTCTGTGCTGTGGTAGCAGCAATACCCTCTGTCCACTGACCCCGAGTACAGTGTGTTCTTAGACGTTACAGATGGGGAGGTATCAACAGGAAATAGATGGTAAAAATGGAAAATAAAAAGTTTTAGTGTGCCTAGAACAGCTTTGGCTGTTACAAAATCACAGCACAGTTCACAACAGGACTTACAGTGAATACAAATGCCCTAAAATAGTTTATCTTGGAGAGTCCTGTTCACTCATGGTATAGTGGGCCCAAATGCAGCCCTAAGCCCCAGAGTAGGTACAGAAATAATTAGCTATAGCCATTGTAGCAATAGCTGAGTTTCTAGGTCTTGCTAAACAGACAAAATTAATTAGCCTGAGGCACAGTGCTGTGCAAACTAGATCTATAGCAGAAGCACTGTCAGAGCAGCAAAAAGCTACATTGTGAGCATAGGTTTATTTTGTTCAAAATTAAAAATCACTTAAGTTTCTGTTTGTCTGAATGTTTGGGTTTTACCTGTACTGGAAGAAATTCACTGGCTTTGCCACATACAATGTTAACATTTTTTCTCCAGATGGCATCTGTTCCCATTGTTAAAGAAAGTAAAAGTCAAGATGGACCAAGAGTCTGGCAAAGCTGGACACTTGTTTTCATGTGCTGACAAATGTTTTCCTACAGACAATAGGAAAGTAAATAACTCCTAAACTGTCAGCACAAGTGGATAGGGGTGTGGTTCACACAGAGAGTGAAGCTGAAGGAAAAAAGAAAGTAAAACTGTGTTTTCAGGGTGAGTAAGAGCGATGTTCTGTAGAGAACGGTTCTTCTCACTGCTCACCTCTGGGTATCTCTTGCTTCCCCTCCTTGTACTTCTTTCTCCTCTCTTGTTTGCTTTGATTGTGGTGCCCTTTTAGTGGTCTGTGAAGCACAGACACTACAAACAGAGTCATCCAAGACAAAGAGAAGAGGCATATATTTCAGTGTGTTACTGTAATCAAACTGAGAATCCCCGTCCAAGCCATGAAATAGAGAAGAACTGTTCCTCATGGATGTTTGGAATTCTGAGCAAATGTTTTTAATCTAGGAATGCAGAAATTGCATCATAATATTGCCTATCACGTGTTTTTTGGGTAGGCTGAACTTGAGCATTAGGAAAATTACCATAAATTGCTGTTTCAGTCTAAATGGGGAAAGGAGTTAGTTTTAGAAATATTTTTTAGAGGTCACTACAATGGTTTTGAAAGGAGTGCAACACATATAAACAGTAGTTAGCATTTGTAGTAGTAGTAATTGTGCTGAGCCAGTATATTTTTAAGTCAAGATATCCCTCATTGATTTATCTTATACAAGACCAGGCCTTTTTGTTTGCAGAGGAGCAGAAAACACAAACTTTGGGTGCAGGTTCCTGAAATCTGATCCCTTGTTAGACTGAGAGTTCCAAATTTGTCATATTCCCTCAGTAAGCTATTTTCTGCAACAACAAGAGCAAACCTGGCATTATTTAAAATCCTTACTCAGCTAATACAATTGTCCCAGCCTTTCTTAGCAACGATAGACTGATGAATCTCACAATATTCTCTCTGTAGCTCTCACAGACTGCTCCTCTTGGAGTGCTTTGGACGCTGCCAGATCTGCTACTTCATTATCAGTAACTTTTGATGTTTATAAAGTTGTTCACACCTACATTTTGCTTTTAGAAACACAAGCCAGTCATATACACCAGTGCCAGTTTCTGGAAGCTACGGTGAAAGCCCTGCTGCTTCTGGTACTTCAAAACCAAGAGTTGTTACTACTGCCAGCATAAAACCCTCTGTCTACCAGCCAGGTAAGGTGCCTTCAAAGTATTGAAAGGATCCAGAAAAAAGGTACATACACATTTGTTTCAGAGAAAGGGAATGCAAAGAATGCACATTTTGCAATAAGACACAGACGTATCAGAAAATATTTATAAACATGGAACTAAATGCTGCTAGCTGCTCGTTTTGGTTCAAATTATCGGAAGGTCCAGGAACTTTGTTGTATTTGTATTCTGCTTCAGAGCTAAAATGTGGAACAAATGGAGGAGAAAGAATGAAAACAAGGGAAAAGACTGTAATAAAAATGTGTAGCCTGATTTTTCAGAAGAAATACTACTGGAAAATAACACAGTGTGCCCACTTAGGAGCCCAGTGACACTACATAAAATAACTTAAGAACGGACAATTCAGGAATAAGACAAAATAAGTGGAGTTAGCTTGACTAGAATGTATTTGCAAAATAGATATGGCCATATATATTGAATTCCTCAAACTCAGGCTTGCATTTGAAATAAAGAATAAGGTATTAATGTACTTCATAATGCTATGCTTCCATTTTCCAAAGGTCTAGTAACTGAAGGGATATATTTGGTTAGTCATTCATGTAGAAAAAATGCTCCTTGATATTATTTTAATTCCCTTTGTCTTAATGTGTTACAAATGGAGTGAACTTCTAAAACCATTGATGACCAAAATATGAACCTTCAAAATGAACAAATTAAATGAGGCAGTGATATAAGTCTAAATACAGTTCTGTTTCAAATTAAGGTTTCTCTGATCTTAGCAAGAGAATTAAAAAGTTGATTTATAACTTGACAGTCAAGTAAATACGAAAAGACCAAGAACTCTAAGAGTCTTAAACTCTGTCTTCTGTAATGGTCTATCTCTGGATCTACTGAAATTAAACAAATGTAGAAATTTTACTGAGACATAAAGCAGTCAGACAAATCAGTTGATTGATCTTTATATTTGAGACATAAAAGTGGAAAAAGCCAAGTCAGAAAAGAGCTATCATAAGCTATTTAAGGATCTCAAAGTAAATAAATCTGCAGCTTTTTCTCATTTGCTTTTGGTTAAGTGTGTCAGCATATACCGTGTTCTCACTGAAGGCAAGTGTTACTATTTTTGACTTGTAAAAGGAAAGATGAAGACAGAGGATTTATTTCAATAATGCTAAAACTGTGGCAAGTCAAAATATCGCCCAAATACACTGATGGATACTAAGCCCCGTGCTCATCTGGGGGAAGTGTGAACTCCAGTTCTCAATATACAAACCTGCCACAGAAATAAATCTGCAGCTATTTGCAGTTATTAGCTGAATCTGTTAAAGAAAAATCTGGCTGTTGAATTCAGTGTGAAATAAGAGGCAATCCTTTCGTTTTCCCTGGCGTTGGGCATCTTCTTTGCACTTCCTTACACTGCTGTTTTTTCTTCAAAGTTCCTTATGCTGCTGATTTTGAGCACCATTGCCTCCAAATAAAAGCTTAAGTAGGTGGCAGGGAAAGAAAGAGTAAGTTTCCCTGTATTGTTTAGGAGTTTGAAATACGCAATGAATGATTCTGAAATAATTTGATAAGTGAACACCAAAGTCACTGTGGGTCCCCTCCAAGTTTGAATACTCTATGATTCTGTGACTCAGGTACAAAAGAGATTCGAGACAGGTATTTTACTGAAGATATTTGGGTTTTGTTTTGGCACTTTTTGAAGTTCTGTGTATTTGATGTAGTAGCACTTCATACTGGTTTGGGAACATGAGTTGGCCCTGGAGACAGTTGCAGTCCTGAGCAAATGGGAAACTGCCACTTGGAAAGAAATGGAGGTAATGACATTTCCTGCCACAGACCTGAAAGATGAACAGTACTTAGAAACAAACCATGAAGGCAGTTAGAAAACTTCCTCACCCAGCTTTGTCAACACACATAAATTTTGTTCTGCAGTGTAAAATGCAACCTCAGTCTGACAGGACCAGCTGTTCTCATATTATGGCGTAGGAGATCAGAAAACACACCTTTGTCTTCCTACCTAAGTGCAGACTCAGCTTTTGCAATAACTGCACTCTCACTTTAGCAAATGATTTCTTAGACATCTATTTTTGTAAATCCACTGTGTGAAAAGGCTGAAATAGAGGAGGTTGCTGGGAGAATTTGCAATGTAGGAATTAGAAGTGCAATGTCTTTCTGCAGCCATCAGTGTCCATGGGAGGGACATGACTGGCTTCCCTTAAAATATGGGGCACCACATTCCATATTTCAACATCCACACAGGCCCATGTCTGCAATATGAAGAAACCTGATTTAGTCACTAAGAGGATTTACAAGACTCTTTTAATCCATCTCAGATTAGGGGCGGGGAGAGGGAAGTAACAAAAAACCAAACGAAACAGAAAAGGGCTAAATCTTGTTTACACTGAAACAAACCTCAAAATGCAACCGCACTGGCTCAAATGGGAGTAATCAGGAAGTCTAAACTTTCACTAACCTAACTCACGTGGGAATGTTCTGCTGCTAAAAATCTTTATTTTCTTATTATAGGTAAAAAGTGTGAAGTCTAAAATCTTTTCCCTAAATTTTATAACCCTTTAAAATTTCACTTTAAAAGGAGCATAGATGTCTCCTGAACAAGGTCCACTAGATGGCAGAGTATCCCTGTGTATTCCATTCCCCTAGGCTTTCCCGCACCTGGATCGCTCTTTCTCACATTCCAAGCAACTCCAACACCAGTTTTGTGTCACGAACGTAACACCTAAGTGTAAGAAAGCAGATCGTTCCTTTTAAATCCCCACGTCCAAACAGGACTACTCGTCTATGCAAAGTGGTCAAGCTTAAAGGCCTGATCTGCTCTTTAAGAAATTGGTAGACAGATTCCCACAGACCTTAATGAGCTTTACACTGAAGCCTTCATTACTGAAACAGCAGCCTACACATAATTTCATTTTTAATTCTTCTGAATAAGAATAGTGTCTCCTTATAAAGCATCATCTGCTTTGTCTGTCATCTACTATATGCTGTAGCAGCGTGTAGGAAAACTTTGAGCTTCAAGGATTTGGCCGCTAAGTTTAGAACAAGCCAAATCAGTTGTGGTTATGAATTTCATTTGTTGCTGAAAATAATAAAGAATAACTCATGTCATCTACTGACAAAGGAAAAAAAGGAAAATTGTTCTCACAGTGTGAGCTGGTCTATGAATAAAGCATTTGAGACTATATAAATCTTTACTAAATGAGTCTTGGGTAACATACCTTCGTGTCTGGAGGGAAAATAGCCATTGATACTACATTGATGGGGAGAATTCCAAATTCCCCAAAGCAAGGAATTGGCTTGTTCCTACTGCTGTTAAGAGACCTCTTCTCCTGCCGTTCTCTCAGGATAAAAATAATCCCATTCATTCTTTCTTTCTCTAAGAGAATCTGAGGGGCTGAGAGAAACAAGGTAATAGAGGTTAGGTCACTGAATTATTTAAAGTATTAATTTTTTAAAAGGTAGTGATCAGCTCATACAATACTGATATTTTGAGAATATATTCTCTGATATACTGAATCTTAGTACTTTTTTAGCAGCAAACAGTCCCTTTTTTCTGCTGCATGTATGCTGGAAGACTGAAATACATAAACATGCAAGGTGAATGTGTATGGCAGTAGCTACTAAGACAAAAAAGTTGTTCATATAAGCTTAGGGATATAGTTCTAAGATAATAAGATAATAATACCTTCTTAATAACAATTGCCAAAATCTCAAAGTTAGTGAAATCTTTCTCATACATTGCAATGACGCTGTTTTAAATCAATACTAGATGCACCTTGTTCATGGGGGGGAGATATATTGTAAGAAATCAAGCCTATCAAATTAGGACAGCTGAAAAGAGAACTCAGAGCAGTTGCAAACACCCACTATTTGTCATTTTGCAATAATTCCTCCAGTACTTTCCTTCAGTAACTGAGAAAAAAAACCAACCTATTTGGCTGCTTTATTTTACCACAGCAAGTAGAAAAGGTAGAGTAAAAATAAATAGAAGGTAGAGAAAATGAAAGACAAAGACTTTTCCTCAGTGTTTATCCTTCAAAGGGGTCTACATTAATCTGAACCCAGATAAATCATATTCAGTCTATATTGGTTGGAATAAGCAAACTGGAAAAATAGAACACCAACACTGTGACATTAAGGAAGAAAAAAAATTACAAACAAAGAGCCTGTAAGCTGAATTCAGTAAAGACAATAATATAAAAAGACATCCTAAAAATGGTACCTGGACTGCATTTGTTCTTCCTTTCTGGAACTCTGGGTTTGAATATCTGCCCGTTTTGTTAGGCCCTCTGTGGGATAGAGAGCCATCCTCTCTCTGCATGAACCACCACTCACTCTTGGGGAAGGGAGAATCCTTTCCCACAATGAAGTGAGCTAGAAGTCACCTTGTTTAATTAGAGAGGCTCATAGGTAGGAGCCTTTTGAACTCGCCAATTAGAGATGAAATATTACCTTCTAATTTTGCCTATCTTAATACCGTAATACATAAATAGCAACAGCCTCAGGACCTAAAGAGATTGCATATAAACTCTGTTCTGAAATCTTTAAATACTATTTACCATTTCCAAGTGAAAAAAAAAAAAAAAAAAAAAAAAGGAAGCCTCAAGCTAAGGTGGGATACAGTTCTATGAAGCAGAAACTTGATGATACAGTAGCATAAGAAAGTTTTATCAAGAAAAGGCATTAGATTCAACTCTGACCTCGATTAAAAAGATCACAGGTGTGATTGCAGTGGATTGATATACATGCAATTTAAGCACCTGCAAATTGCTAATAATCAGTGTAAGTTATTCCATGGAGCAGGGTGTGGGCTAATGGAGGAATGCTAAGTAGAACATAATCTCACCACTTAATATCTCACTTAATTATTCAGAAAGATCCATGTTACACTCAGAACTGTCTTGGTTGAAACACCTTTCTAACTGCAAGCCCCTTAAAACTGTCCATGTTGTATTTGGTCATCATTTTGTTGGTGCTGGGCTCCATTATGCAGAATGTCTGCCTAGGCTGCTGCAGAACTGGCTTCTGTCCTGAATCTGTGCTCTCTCATTTGGGCAAAGCACTTCAACTGTCCAAGCTTCTTTTCAGTCATTCACTTTGTTTTCCTTGCAAAGGAAAACTGCTTTTAGTGCTCCTGTACTTGGCAGAGTGAGGCTGTTTCTTGGGCAGTAACTTCAGTCCTACATAATGCAAGATCTGACACTTTAAACGGAGCAGGGCGATGGGAAAACTTGTCAGTATGTGCAGGCTGGAGCTCCTGCTTATTTTTACATGATAAAGCTCCACCCAAGATTAGAGCCTGGTGCACACAAACACAAGAGGCAGTCTGCACTGAAGATTTTATCTGATAGTCAAAGGGTAGAAAAAAGAAGGTGTAATATTCTATTTTATACACAGGAACTGAGGCACAGATACTACGCTTTGCTCAAAGTTATACAGGAAGTCTGCGGCAGAGCCGAGAACTGAACTGAGATCAGTCATAACCACAAGTCTGGCCTTCCTCTAAGTGCTGTTGGCTTTGTCTTGCTGGTCATGTGAGCTGAATTGGCTCCCTCAGTATTGCTTCCAGTGCTCTCTGTGTTCCCTGTGTGAGCCTGTTTTTCCTCAGAAACTGAGGAATAAACCTACAAATGATAAATAACAATGACATCTGTAGAAAACATTGCTTTTGAATGAATGTAATGAGATCAAAAATTAGGCATAACTTAGGGAAATTCTGGGGAATTCCATCTAAAACTTTATTATATGATCTGGCCTTTCTGTTTTTAACCTGTCTTGAACAGATTATGTGGCAGTCTTTGAAATTAACACAGAATTGTCATATCCATTCCTACTAGAAAAGTGAAGAGATGACCTTGAAAATGGTCTCCATGAAATCTGTAAAAGCCAGTAGGCATTGACTTCTGTAATGCATGTGGATTAAAAGTCAGTAATTGTGCTGATATCCTGGGCTTCACTCCAGAATAAATGAGCAATAATGGGACAGACAATAATTACGTATTATCTGAAGCGTTTGGTTTTTGTGTGTCATGGAGTGCCCTTTGGTAAGTATTGCTGTATTGCCATCAGAAGAAAAAGACTTTAAAATGCTTCTTGGTTTCTTTTGGGATACTTAAAACAGCACCAGCACCAGCACCAGTTCATTCCTACACCCCAGCCAACACGGAGCCTGCAAGTCGCCCTCCCTGGGTAACAGATGACTCGTTTTCCCAGAAATTTGCACCTGGAAAATCCACCACCACTGTCACAAAGCACATCCTACCAAGGGGTGCTCCAGTGCCACCTCCTGCCTCAACTTCTGCTTACCCATCTCCAGTTCCACCTTCTTCCCAGCCTCCCACGGCGCGGGGAACAGTTCAGAGGGCTGAGCGTTTCCCAGCCAGCAGCCGAACTCCTCTCTGTGGGCACTGCAACAGCATCATTCGGTAAGGGCATGAGGTCCTCAGGAGGGATGAAGCAGAAAAAAAATATCAGAGAGACTGGTTATTGTACATTAACATACAGTACCAGAGCCTAAGACTCTGTTAAATTACCCAGCAGGGATGTCTGTTGTCTGCTTCATTAATTTAACATTTCCAGAGCTCATTTTGTTATTATGCGGTTCACTTTTTATCACTGCAAAGTTATACGTGCTAATTGTTGGTCTGCTGGATGCTGTGGCAAATCACTGCTTGTTTTTTAAACAGGTTTCTGGTCCTAAGGTAACCCTTTGAAGGAGGTTTGGGCAACTTAATTGGGAGAGTTGGGGGGCTGGGGGCAGAGAGGGGGATTATGGACAGAAAAGGAACGAGGCATCATTTTGGAACAGCAGCCAAATGTAATTGTTGCTTTTGTGTCTGGAGAAAGATAATGCCTACACTCTGTTACCAGTGATTCATAGCATGCCTCTCCCTTCTCCTCTCCCAGTTCATTCTGCTGGACCAGTGCCCACTGTTACCCTGTGCACTGCTATCCGACTTAAAGTAATCCATGTTTAATGACAGTCTTCCCCACTAAAAGGAGCGAGTTCGGTGATGTGGAAATGCTGATTATTGCTCTTTATGTATTCTAAAATGGAAATACTCCAGTAACAATCTCTACATCTAACAACAATCAAGAGTCAATCACCAAAACAAATTTAATGTGTCTTCCACATAATGAAACAGCAAGTTGTCATCTGATGGTCTGGCATTTCCAGAACATGCAGTGCTCTCAGATGAAAAGAAGGCAGGAGACTTTAGGAGCTATTGTGAAGTATGGGTGTGTAGGTCTAGAAAGTTGCTTGGTTTTTGATGCTTTCAAATAGTAGCATTATCTTCTATGTTGCAACCCTTGGCCTTTTCCTGTTGCCTTTGCAGCTGCTTACAAAGGCCTGTTATAGTTATGCAGACATGAAAACAATTGATGATTTTTCCAACAGTTCTCTGTAAATCCAGTGTATGGGACAAAGCAGTAATGAAATGTTTTAACCAATCAGCAGTGTATTTGAGTCATGATCTTAATAAGATCATTTCTGGATATTTTTAATGTGCACTTCATGGTTCAAGTAGAATGCTTCTTACACATGTACGTGCTGTCTGACAAGGTGGGTTTGCAATCAGGGTCCTTCAATCATTTTGCAATACAAACAGGATAACTGTGATTGTTTGCAGAGGTCCTTTCCTGGTAGCCATGGGTCGCTCTTGGCACCCAGAAGAATTCAACTGTGCTTACTGCAAGACATCCTTGGCTGATATGTGCTTTGTGGAGGAGCAGAATAGTGTGTACTGTGAGCGCTGCTACGAACAGTTCTTTGCACCCACCTGTGCCAGGTGCCACACCAAGATCATGGGGGTAAGAAAGCAACATAAACCCTTTCTCCAACTGCGTGGATCACTGAAGTAGTGAAATAGTTCAGACTGTAAGCAATGAATGTAGATATTTTATTATTTTCTCCTTTTTAGTAATTATTTCCCAGCTTGTTGATTATTTCAGAATGAGAAACATATTATTTTATAATAATTTTTATCTAACTGAACACTTGGATATTTCCGTAGTTTATTCAACTCATAGAATATGTAATCCAGTTACCATCTCACTGAGTGTAAAGCAAGTAACACTTTCTGCATAGATTTTGCTATCCAATACACACACTGTTACTTTTATACCTCTGTTCCTTATATTTATAGTAAGAGATTTGAACTGGGTTTTTATTTCTTACACAGGGCTTAGTCAAAATTTCAGTGGTGAAGTCAGTGATGTTGGGAGGAGGCCCACTGCTCTTGCTGCACCTCTCTGGTAGCTACCAACACAGCTGGCTTCTTATAGTTAAGAAAATACAGAACAAATACAAAGACTGAATTCCAGAAAAGCAAAAATACATGCCACTTTTTGTGTTAAAGTACTCATGTACAAGTAAATGTACAACTAAATTTGCTCTCCATATACCTTAGATGGTGATGAGGTTGGAATACCACGAGATAATTTTAGCAGTGTCTTTGTGCATGCAGTTGTAGTGAACATATGACATAATCCTCTCAAGTGAGGAAGCAAGGGGTACCACGCTGGATTTTCACTGCTTAGCTGTCACCTTGGAGGTCTGTCTAAATGTTGGCATTGACAGACTTGATGCTCTTCTCTGCAATTGCCAGCTAGGGATGGCAGCATCAGACACTGATGGTGAAGCTCTGGCTCCAGCCAAACCAAGCCTCATTTGCTGCTGCAGCAGTAGGAGTAATTTTACAGCAGAGTACTGACTTAACTTACCTAATGAATGCTGGCACAAAGCAGTTTCCCATTATGGATTTTCATCAGGAAGACAGCAAAGATGCCAGCTGCCCCTATTTATATTAATAAGATTCTCAAGCTATTTTTTGCTTCTTACTTCACTGAGGTTCATAAATGGATCCAAACCTATTTATCAGTGATAGTTGTTTTGCAAACAGAAGTTAATGAATCTCAAATGGTGATTCTCTAATAAGATATATGGCAAACCTAAATTAGACTATTTTGCCTATTCACTAGATTAAAAGCATGGAAGAGGACTTCAATGCATTTTGTCATAATCAATGGACATTAAAAATAATAATTAAAAGAGAATCAGAGTCCATGCATGTAATTGGAAGCAGCATAAAATAGGATGGAGATTCTCAGCTGGTATAAATCAGAGCTGTTTCACTGGAGTTAACAAAGTTAATTTACACCAGTTACACAGCTGTTCCTTTGAAATCTGGACTGTTTGACAGAGATGCAGTGTCAGACATCATCCTGGGCACATGTAAGATTGACAGATTAGCAGGACTGTGCATTAGAGCTCAGTACAGCAGCTTTGGGGCTGGGAAGGTTTCTGTATGACAAAAGAGTGAAGCAGTAATAGAGATTACTCCATACAGAACTCAGAAGCTGATAAAATCGAGATGCTCAGTTTAAGAGAACATCAGATGCACAGAATTAGGTTTTTTTGTGCTAAACACATGATCTGGGAACAGACACACAGGCTCATTTTTACTAATCACAGAAGTTAAAATCTAAGAACTTTTTTTTTTTTTTTAGATTTTCACATTAGTTTGTGAATCATTTTTGTGAGAAGCATAAAGAAATTGCTACATAATCTAAATGGCTTTGAAACAACAGATTTAAATCACTTATTCTTGGTCTTAGAGAGAAATTTATTCTTTAATATTTATTTAACAAATACTCTTGCAATAAAGAGTTGGTACTAGTCGTGACAGAAGAAAGGAGAAAATAATCAGAATCTTTGTGCAGAATCTCTCCTGTAACAGCAACTGGGCCTGTTGATACAAACAACTGGCTGAACCAGGTTGTTTCATTTTGGCAAATACATTGTTCTAGAAAGTTTACAGTCCTATTTCTTCTTTCTTTCCAAAAGGAGCCCAATTTCTGTCATGATTCTTTCTTTTGAGGAAGGGAATTGGCTGATACAGAAGTGAAGAATTTAGAGCATCTCTGCCTTGTGTTAGTTCTCCAGAAGTTTGTGGCAGGGCTTGCTCTTCTACTGGAGATTTTTGTTTGTTTGTTTGTTTGTTTTACAGGAAGTGATGCATGCCCTGAGACAGACTTGGCACACAACCTGCTTTGTCTGTGCTGCTTGTAAGATGCCATTTGGGAATAGCCTGTTTCACATGGAGGACGGGGAACCTTACTGTGAGAAAGGTAGGGCAAACTGGAAAGTTCTGCTCATCATCATGTGCTTCATGTTCACAGAAGAAACATAAGAATAAAGCAGCTGATGAACAAAATTAAATCAGTTACCCATCCAGCATGGATTTTGTTTCCACTCTCCACACACACAAGTGTTTCTGTCTCTTTATTTTTCTCCAGTTTATATGATAGAATAGCTGGTCTTTGCCTCAATGTCCCAGAATGCCTGACCTCACTTCTCTCCCTTATGTATTATGATACTTTGCATTTCTCTTCCTGCACCTTTCCCCCTGTCCCGCTCCCTTCCTTGGCAGATTCTGCTCACTTGAAATGAAAAATTATTCCTTTAGGACTGCCCACAGTCTCTCTACTGAGTCACTCACACACACACACCTCTGATGCTGCTGCCTCACCCTAAAATTGTTCAACCACCATACATGAAAAGATAGCTCTGCACAGATGTGCAACACATGGTAGTGCAGATTTTGTTTTCTGGCTGCTGCAACCAATGAACTGCTTCTTGCCAACTAACAAAGGAAAAGGCCGAGTTTTCCCAGACTATGGAAAGGCTAATACGGTTTAATAAATGGTACTTGCCATGCAAATGAGCTGCCTGAGGTTGTCAGGAGGGAGGTTAAGGTGTAAATGATACTCCCTCTGTATCCCCTTGTCCATTCAAAGAGCCTCTGGCCTACTTCTCTCTGGAGATTCCTTCCTTATGGTTTATGCAATTCAAATTTTACAAATCAGAGTAACTCTTATGAAGAGTGAAAACCACACAGCTGAACTGACTGGGTACCTACCTTTTAAAATTGGAGGTTTTGTTGTAACATCTAGTGCCTCTCACGAATTCCATATATCTTTAAAATTTCCACTAATCTTTTTCAATGTCAAGCCTTTCCCAAGTGCACTTGATAATCCAAGTAAAGATGTATTAATCAGCTAGTGTGGGGTTATCATAATATTCTCTCAATGCAGAAAGAACATAAATCCAGTGATGAAAACTTGTAACATTCCCTGGCCATTAGACTCTTTTGTATGACCATATTTGCCCTTATTAATGGATTCCACGTACATTAAAGCTAATTTAAAAGTAATGTGAGAAACATAACTTCAAATTCCGTGAATTTTTTTGTTTGTCTTCTACATTTGTGATGACAAATGTCATACTGACGTGGGGTTTTGGACTGAGTTTGTATTGAAATAATGAAGGAAAAGAACCAAATTTCAGTATGAGTGTTTCAGTGAATGTAGTTGGAAACTTAGCAAAAACAATCAAAAGATTCATTGTCTGGAAACTTTCTGTTTCTCTTGGATTTAATACAATGACATTAAGAGTTTGTTCTAAGTTTGCTTTCTGTTTTATTTTAGATTATATTGCTTTGTTCAGCACAAAATGCCATGGCTGTGATTATCCTGTTGAAGCTGGAGATAAATTCATTGAAGCCCTTGGACACACTTGGCATGATACCTGCTTCATTTGTGCTGTAAGTTCTACACCAAATACTATCTCATTCCTTTATACTCCTAAATTGTGTAGTAACATCAGAAAACCTGACAGCAGGAATGACTAACATATGCCTAAGGATGTGGAGGGATGGAATTTCGTTTTTCACTTGCAGATGGAGAGGGATGGGAGTCATTTCTCTTCTCCTCCATAAACTTTAACCAGAATTATGAAATTTGGCCATCACAAGTGAGTGTTTTCTAATAAAACATCCAGTTTTAGAGAGTACATACAGCAATACATACCACTGTTGCTGTTATTTTTTCCAGTGTTTGCCAAATAAAGATGGAGCAAGATTGAAAATAAATTAACACCGTACTGAACAGCATAACCATAATCTTACTTACAAAGCAGCAAAGTTTGTCTTTCCATGCAGAATGCTTGTTGAAACTTGCAAAAAGGAGTCTGTTTAGAGGGAATGAATAGTAGTTAGCATAGAAGTTGGTCAAACTCATCAATCTGTGGCGTGCACACAGCTATAGAGGGTGGTCATATTCCCACACTCTGCACTCAAAGCAGAAAAATCCATATGATAAAAGTGCTTTCATCTGGTTCTAATACTGCTGTGCAGCTCTACAACATAGAGTTCCTAAAGTAATGATATCTAGAACCTCTAATTAGCTAAAAATAGTATGTTGGCCACGCCAAACTGACAGTGACAATTTCTAATGTTTGTTTAACTCTAAAATTTAGGTTGAAAAGTTGAAAGTATAGAAATCTTTATAAATATCTAAAGCTAAACTACCTACTGGTCTCTCAGGGTACATGGAAGTGAGTGACACAAAAGTGTCTTGTGAAAACTGAAGTCTTTTGGAAATTCTAATAGAGGAAGAGAGTTTCCTTCACAAACTGAGAGCTATTAATAATTTATAAATATTGATAATTTATAAAAGACACTTTCTCCGAATATTTCACGTTCTTTTTTTGCTTGTTCATTTGCCTTAGCTACCCAGTTTTCTATGGAGGTGATAGTTCTATTATGTCTCACAGTGGGGTTTTTTTTTAGGACCTAACTTTATTTCTCACAATGGGTTAAGTAAATTGCAAATCAGCACATGACTCCTGATCTCTGAGATGCCATCCTCATATCCTTAACGTGCAGTAGCACATCCGATGCTGCCACCTCAGCCTGCCATAAGCACTAGGGACAATGCGTGCTCTTATTTCTAGATTGTGACGTGTTGCCTTCCTTAAGTGGTTCTAGTCAACCCTGACCTTGCACGTGGGGTTGCACTACCCTGTGTAGACACCTGTGCAATTCCAGGGCAGTCAGAGCTGACCCAAACCTGGGCTGCCCCGCCCCAGCAGTGATTCTCACCTGCTTGGCTTTGTCAACACCGACACTTAAGGCAGCCAGGCAGAGAACTCTGGGGTTGAAGAGTAACCTGGTAAGAGTAAGTCATTAGTACTCAGTGATGGCTGTCTAAATGACTCACTCCTCCATCACATAAGAAAAAGTGCCGACAGAAATGAGTGTCTAATGGTCTGATGAAAGGCTGGTGCTGCTGGGACCATGGAACCTCACCAGAGTCTTTCTGAAATCCTGCATTAAAGGATCAGAATCAAGGTCTGAAAGTCAGAGCATGTGCTCCAGTGCACCAATATCCTTTGACAGTCTGCCCAAACACTGCTGGGATGTGCCAAAGCTGCCCAGGTGATCGTGTACCACTAAACTTAGTGGGAAGGGTGTCAGAAAGTACAGACAGGAGAGCTGATGCAGACCAGAGCCTACCCTCGGTGCAGAGTAGGAAAACTACCAAGGCATGCACTTTGATTCAGGAAACCAGATGCACTTCCAGCAGTGAAATGCATGGGTAGAAGAGAAATACAGTTGAAATTGATAGTCATGTTTATCTCACTCTTTTTTTCCCCCTTAATTATTCCTGATTGTATCTGTTATTAATTCTAGGTATGCCACGTGAATTTGGAAGGTCAGCCATTCTACTCCAAGAAGGATAAGCCACTGTGCAAGAAGCATGCCCATGCCATCAATGTTTAAAAGAAGAGTTGGTAGTCAGTAATGTTGGGGTAAAACAGATGACTAACTGGGCAATCATAAAGTTGATAACCATGGCTAGCATTTCCCTTGGTAAAAGCTAGGAAGTTGGTACTTCAGAAGTTTAACTTTATCCTCTTTCGTAAATGCAGAACGTGCTTTTTTTGCAAGGTTCACACAAAAACCTCCTGAATGAACAGTCAAAACCAAATGAACTAATGAACTAGTCTGTTATTAGAGCAACAGTTGGAGAAAATCTTGAAACTAACTAAAAACCTTAATATAAAAAGTAATGTGCAAATACAGTTTCAAATGAACTACCCGCAGCAGTTTTACTGCTTAGACCACACACTGGTGTTCAAAAACGACTGGAAAAATCCTTTTGTAGTAAGTCATTTTCTTTCACAGCAAGAATGAGTAAGTGCCATATGTACAGTCATCTGTAGAACCAAAGGCCATAGCTTTCAAAGGGAAATAAATAGATTAGGGCTTCCTCTGTGAAAGTGAGTGCTGTTCCATTATGTTGTGGGGCTACCTCATAGCATCAGATATTTTAGATTCTTTCCAAATAAGAAGTCTGCCTTGAATCCATATGTAGCTGGGAAGCCTAGGTGACAATCCATAACAGTTTGAAAATGAAGTGGAAACAGAATAATGCCTTCCATAACCCAGTAAGATTGAGGAAAGCAAGCTGGGTCAGCCTTGCCAATGCACTTGGCTTATACGTGCACAGTAGATTTGAAAGTTCACTTTCACATCATAATGGAAAAGGACAACTGGCTTTCTCCAAATTGCTCCGACATTGAATGGAATAGAGCTATCTGGAAAGGCCAACTTTTAATTTGAAATCAGTTTTCCTTTCCTCTTGAGTTAAAAAAAAAAAAAATTAATTCATAGTCTCTTTGGTTTCTAATTCCCACTGATACCAGAGGGAGGTAGAAATCTACATCTGGGCCTTCACATTGATGAATACAGAAGAAACACATCCACCTAGCACAGCCAGGAAGTGGAAGATTCCCTATTCTATCTCACATAATTGGGGAAAAGGGCTTTTTTTTTTCCCCTATAGTAAATTAACATTGGTTAAAAATCCATAAGGCAGCAGGCACATGCTCTGTATTCGTTTCCTTAGTTTAAACACAACTCATGATGAATTGTAGCAGTATTTGCCATTGTAAAACAGTAGCTGGGTTCTGACAATTAGGATAACCATATAGTCATCTTTTCTAAGAACCATACAGTCATCTTTCTTCTAATGTTTTAAGAACAACTTTCAAGTTGCTCAAACAGTTATTTATAGAGCATTTTTTTGGGATTTTTTTCAAATGAGCAAAACTTGTAGTACTGATAACACTTCTGAATTTTTAAATAGGAATGACTTTTGCATTGGAGACAGCAGTTCTGTCTGATGGAGTTAAGATGGAAAGTCTGATCACTGTTCAAGTTTTATTAACTCGTTTAAGTGAGAATTACGATGTGTGTGTTGACAGCTTGCAGTACTGACAGTTTGGAACTAGTATTTCTGAGGCTGAGGATGCATTCTGTGGGCCACATGCTGGCGCCCTCTGCACCTGTTTTACCTTGTGCTTTGAGCAACAAAAAGTTACATAACAATGCCTGCCTCGCCCCTCCTGTGGGTAATGCCCGTTTTAAGATATTTATGTGTCTTTCAAGGAATGAAAAACGATCCAAAGTTTGGGACGGGAATAAAAGAAATTTGGAGTTCTAATATGAGAATTAAGTTAGCTGCAGGCAGTTTGCATCTTGGACAAAAACAACCACCTGAACTGCCTGTGGCAGTTTTGACATGTATGACTGGTATTTATTGAGTAGGTATCTTAGTTTTCACTGATCTTAGCAGTGATCTGACCTGAGTGCTACAGGCTCAGATTTTTGTGTGCATGAATTAGTCTAAAACACTAGCACATCATATGCAAAGCCTATTTTTTTTCTATAAGCAAGCAAATTTTCTGTTTTCAGTCGGTGCTGGGCTGGTATGAATATGGTTCCATAGGTTACAAAATCCAGAGATCTGGCTCACAATATTCTCCAGAGGAATAAATAGTAATTATGGAAGTTAAATGTTTTTTCCACCCATATTTGACTTCATTAAATACATTTTCACAACAGTGAGAAAATTCTAAATTTCCTTTTAATTTTTCTACGTCATTCTACAAAATTATGTTGTTACCTGTTATTTGGGAGAATTCTTATCAGCATACTATATACTAAGACTGCATTGAAGATACCCTTTAGACAGATTTCTGTGTTACCCACTGACTGGGACTGGTCTCTGACTGCGACATCAAAACAGGGAGTCAGGCTCCATGGGGAGACACAAAATGGTAGGGCTTGTGATGGAAGCCTCAGGAGAATTTCAGGAGAATTTCAGGTGTGTATGTGTGTGTGTGTGTTTTGTGTGTGTGTCTCCTTTTCCCTCCACCTTCCCCCTCAATGTCCCTAAAAGCTGCCTCTTCCCCAGCAGTGTGAAGGATGAAGCGTTCTAGGATATGGCCAGAGGTGGAAGGCTGCAGCTTGGGCAGGGACACAGACTGTGAGATGATGTTGGTAGACACAGCATGGCTGAGACTGTCCCTTCTTCAAGTCCACTGAGGAGCCCATTCTGGCAGCTGGAGCAGCCCAGGGCAGCCTGGGCTGGCTTGGACTGTGGGAGGTGGGGCTTTCAGTGTGGGCAGGGGAAGGGAGACTTGGATCAGAGAAGGCAGAGCTCCTGCAGCAGCCAGAATGTGGGGGCTCTGGGGACCTCTGGTTGAGTGTAAAAAGGTCAGGGAAGCCCTTCCTGCAGCTGGGGTTGGAGTGGGGGGAATAGCCAGGTAAGGCCGTTTTCACCAAGCTGACATGTTGGGTAGTTGGGGTGGGGCAGAGCGGGAATAGAGGTGGGGGCATAGCCAAGATGACTCACTACAGTCAGGGAAAGGGCTTGAATTAGGAAATTAGGGTACCAGTAGCTCACAGTAGTCCAGAGAGGTACTATTAGTGTATACAGAAGAGGTGAGCAAGGATCCAGTCCCAGTGTACTAAACCTGAAGTCGGTGCTGCAGAAAAATGAACGCAACGTCCACGAGCAGAGCTGAGCTGAACTCGTGGGGTGGCAACAGTGAAAATGCAGCAGCACAGACTTCAGTGGGAGCTGTACTGGCTTGAGAGAATCCTGAAAATTTCCTTCTCAATGGGAGCCGTACTAACTTGAGATTGAAAATTTCCTTGGGCAGATAACCTGCACTGTAGCACATGCCCTGACTCCAGCTGGTGTCTGAGCAAGTGAGATTAAAGTTAGTTTACATATCACTATATGAGGTGCAGTGGTATCTCTGAATGAAGAACAGAGATGCCCTGAGGATTATCACGTAATAAAAATTTCCTGTTATGACTTGTGCTGCTTCATAATGTGGTCCAAAAATAGGGAATCCACGTACCCGCCCTTGATATCTATGTTAAGATATAATTTTTGCACATATCTGAACCAGAAATTTTTGAACAATGTAGCATTTTATTCATGGGGGTAGCAAACCACATAACTGCTGATACTCTTCTGCCACATGTCACCTTTGTGATATGGAGAGTGTAAAATGCATATACATAATTTATATATCTAAAATTCAAAACATGGCCTTTCAATTATCACTGAACATAATGTTGTACAAAAATATGCAAGGTTAATAATGTGTACTTGTTTATGTTTTATGTCTTGTAATAGATGCCTGGGATGAGTCCTAAGTTCCTCTGAATATTTCTTTTCATTCTAATTAATGTGGGGTTTTATCTAATAAAGCAAAGATACTGTACCTCTGAATGATCAATTAAAAAGACCAGTCTTTTATTTCACTAAAAGTGTTCAATAACTTTTCAGTCTAAGGCTTCAAAAACTAACTTAATGCTTTCCTCTCTTTTAGTGTTTTTTCTGCAAAACAAGGTAAATTAAATGTTTCCAAAGAAGACTGCTTTTATTATCTGGGCAAAAAAAACAGTCTTAGGACTTCTTGTTTTTAGAAGTTAATTTTTACTATATTGGATTCGCACATTACACAGCTCTAAAATCAATTCAAAACAATGAAAAATTTTTTTTTCTTTGGTCCTTCAGTGGTCAGTATTTGGGGTGAAATGTTTTGTTAAAGATTATTTGTATTTATGTTTAATAATGTGAATGTCCACAGCACTGAACACACTCATTAGTGTCTAATGCTGGGCACGCTAATGTTTGTTTGCAATACTTGTCTCCTGGAAGCAGATATTAATTTGTTTAGTATTTATAAACATCAGAATTTGAAACTGAGTGATTTATTGCCTGCAGTGATCATATATTAGAAGTCTAGGTTTTATAATATATTGACATATTGACTTGATGCCACAAGTGCCCTTGCTTTTAGATATATATTTTTTCCTAAGTTCCTAGTTATTTCAGAACAGAATGTAGTGAGGTTTATGAGATGTGAGTAACTCCCTTGCATGGATTATCTGTGCCAAGATGAATAAAACAGTTTAGTAATAAAAGCAATGTGCAAATACAGTTAAAGCTTTATGATTTGGGCATATTTATTATATGGCATGTGAACAGCTGACAGCTTTCAGCCATGTAACACTGGTAAGAAAACACACACAAGCTTGTACTCTCTACTTCAGACCTGAAAATAAAAAGCATTGGTTTCAGCGTTATTGTTGAATATTTTATTAACCAAATAATGTTGTTTTAAACAAATAAATATCAGTATGGTTAAAAAATGTAGTGTTCTAACAGTACATGTTATAACTTGGCAAGACATGGAGTCACAGACCTTATTGTGTCAACAAACACTGTTTAGGGTAACTTGGTAAGGAACGGGCAAATTCTCTCTTAAGTTACATCGATGCATCTGCAAACACAGTTTGACTGCTAAGTTCAGGTAGGTGTTCTTCCATTCCTTAGCAAAAGTTATTTTAAATAATACACAAAATGTTTTAAACATCCTCATTGAGCTCTAGTGCCAAGAAATACTTCCAAATGAAAGAATATCTTCCTATAAGAGAGTGTTTTATAAAACCAGCCATTTTGTGCATTCCTGATTCACACTCCTTAGGAATGCAGGCTTTTTAGAGATACAACTAAGTACAGTAAACCTAATTAAGAAGGTAGATGATAAATGGACAGACTTGGCTTTAGATGGCATTACAAAGTACAGCATCAGGAATCAGAGCTGTGTGCACTTTGATTTTATTTTACAGCCCTAATTTCTGTTTATGACGTGCGTAAGGAAAAACAATTCAAAAGAATAGCCAGAACATATTGCAATATTCTGCCAGTTCAAAATCGCTGGTTTTCAGATTGGCTGTTCAGACCTTTAACCTTTGCACAAGGCAGTGGTTCCTAAACTGTGCACTGTGATCCCTGCAAAGCTCAGTTGTCAGAAGTGGAAGCAGCAGAGGCACAGGCATAGCCCCGTGCCAGCCAAGAGGGAACAGAGCAAAGTTCAGTAGGAAAGGACGGTGCAAAACAGCTTGACAAGTGTTGCGTTAAGAGATTCTTAATAGGAGAGGGATTATTATTTGTTCTGAAGAAAATGGTGATTTCAAAACTAGAGGCCTTGGCATTATTTCCCCTCCCCCACAACCCCAATCATGCATCTTGAATTCAGCCGGTTTCTGTTGATTGAGAGAGGAAGGAATGTGTGAATAAGATTGCTGAAACCATCACTGAATACACAATGAAATGCTTTGTTCTCCCAGCCAAATCAGAGTTATGGATGAGATTCAGATTATATTCAGGCACAAATTCTGTGCTGTGTGCCTATAAAACATGCCCTCGGATAGCTGTTAAAATACAGTTCCTCCTCCTCTTGGGAAGATTACATCAAAAGAAAACAGTAACAAACGTGTGTTGTACTAATAAGGACTGTCAGGCTGAGTCACAAGACTTTTCTATGCAATAAGGATAAGCAGAACGAATTTATTTTTTTTTTAACAAAGCTTAACTTTTGAACAAAACACTTTTCCTTTAAAAGTTTCCAGGTTTTGACTGTTAGGGAATAATAAATTAGTATGCATAAGGTATCCTTAATAAATCTGCCTCTACTACAGAAGTATTTTCTAATCTTACTACTTTAAAAATCGGATTATTTTCATTAATGACAAAGGTGTTATGGAAATTCTTCTGCTTCCACTTAGTTTTACCATGTGTAGTGTTACCGAAAAACAGTTGAGGTCTTTCTGAAAACCAATTAATGATTTATTTTTCTTTTAATTAGAAAATATAGATCAAAATACAACTGTGAATTGAATAAAGATGATGGTTCTTCCAGTGCTTGTGGAATGAATAGTGCTTGCTACACTAAAGCCAGGAAACTTACTGTTCTTCTAGATTGTTTTAGGAAGTTTAATAAATATCTGTAGCCATAATTAAAGATCTCCTTTCAGAACAAAAGAATGATTTACAGGGTTTAAATTATTTTAAGATGTAATCATATGTAGATTACATATATAATAATGTTGGGATTGAGGTTTAGTTTCCTTGAAAGAAATCTTAATGTTGATTAATTAAGCATTCCTAGGTGTACGTATGGAACATGCATATGGACTGAAACACTCAGAACTGAGCCTCTGATTTCCTTTAAATGGATGTGTTTTATACCTGAGGTATTTGAGCCTAAACTGTTCTCATATAGTCCATTTGTAAGATATAGCTTAAGAATAATGCATGGAACTGAGTGCACTTAGAGATCTAGATTTTGTTATCTGTCAGGTATTTGTGCTTTATGAGGTAACATCTCTAGACTTCTGATAGCATAGAAGATGTGAGAAAAGAAAAAAAAGGGCACACTTTCTAAAATCTGGTTTCATATATATATATATAATTTATATATATATATATATAAAGGATTAAGGAAAAAATTTTTATTTGTGCACTATAAACAAAGACCAGATATATTCTTTCACAAGTAAACGTTTTTCTGCTGTACCCATCACATTCCTTGACACATTTTTGTTTTCTTCCTGCAAATTTTTCCCTGTACTGATTCCGAGGACACCTCAGATTCCCCTGTGATTAATGCACAGGCAGAAGCCTGACCAGAGTTAATGTTACTTACACAGGCCTGTAAACTGTGGGGTAGAAGGGAATGGAATGGGCTGAGCTGCCACTGTGAGTGTACTCAGCTACTGCCTCCTGCAAATACCAGACTTACTGAGATTTATTGTGGATACACCATATTTATGACAGTAATTGAAAGTTTCTGCTTTATTTCATGTACACAGCGTCTACTTCTGGCCAAAAAATCCTTGTGAGAAACGTGATGGTGCAAGCCAGAGCTTCAGGTTCTAGCTATGACGTCAAATAGAGCATACCTAAATCTAAGCTGTGTTGTTACAGAGTTTTCCTTAGAGATTCTATTCCCAGTTTCTGGAATGTGAGCTGCCATTCTGACACTGTGCATTGTGACACCATTGTCTGAATTCAAACTTGCAAAGATTTCAGCTCATTTGGCAGAATTTACTTCTTCTCATGTTGAAGGACTCCACGTCCTCCTCATGTCCCTTATTCAGCTTTGTGTTACACATCCTAGAATGGACTGGGAACAGTCTGGTGGTGGTAATTACACCCATGCACATAACCACAGGTTAGGAGGCACATCCTGACAGATTAAATTCTCAATACATAACACATTGGGCACCTTTTATAGACTTATATGGCCAGTGGTTGTTGGAGACTTCGTTGATCTCCTAAGCAGTCCCAGAAGCTGCTCTCTGTTCAGAAGTTCTCTAGAAGAAAGAGTCAGTGTTATTAAAAAGTAGATATTAAAGTTTGGGGGTAGTATATATCCTTAGGGTCCCTATTTGCCTATTTAGTACAACCTCAAACAGTTTCTGCTCCTATGCAATTCTCACCAAAAAAATATTAAAGAATGCATAACAGAGGGCTGTTACTACTCCTCCCTAACTCTGGGTGAGAAGCCTCATTCCCCTCCAGCTTAGGGAAATTCACTGGCACACAAAGGTATAAATTACCTCTCTGTGTGCCAGCTGCAGAGAACCTGGCCACAAATACTTAAGCTGAGATTACTTTATTTACTCCTTTAAAGGAGAGTGACGACGTTTTTGCTTCCTCTGATCTTGTAACATGAAAAATATTGATAGAGCAATCCTTAAGTCAAAGGACAGTTAAGTAAGTGTTTATTTATTTTAGACTCCCATTATTAAGTGCAACTACTTAAAAGTGAATAATTGCTATCAAAGTGGGCACACGTGAAAGTAGCAAAATGAGACAAAAATGTAGGAGAGTGAAAATGCAAGGAAAAAGCGGCTTTCAGTGTAACAATTAACCACCCAATCTACCCTTCCTTCATTCACTGCAGGATAATTCATCGTAACTGAATTAATGGTGAAACATTCAGTAATAGGCCTTGGTAAGGAAATAGGAGCAGTGTATCAGGATATCCTTTTTCCGCCCCGGAGTACCAATACTTTCAATTTTATATACAACGGAAGTAATTAATTGTAACACAGAGAAGCCCAGCTGTGTTTCCTGATGGTCACACAAGCAATAGCTACCATTGTTTAGCATTTTGAGTATGTACAGTGAAAGCTGCTCAACTGCTTTTTGGGGGATTTAATTTCCATTAGTAGCTTTTGAATGCATAGTGGATTATTAATATGCTATTATCTTAGATCCAATCCTGCATCCCTAATCAGGTAATTTTTTGCTGATGCCAGTGAGAGTTTAAACTGTATTAGGTACGGCTGCCAAATGTGGAGATTTGCAGACACAGGCAAATTTCTCATTGGAAGCAAAGGGAATTACAGACTGTAATTTCTCAGGATTGGCTTTTAGTTGTATCTTTAACTTGTTCTAGTTGTAGTTTCAGTACATATTCAATTATCTTAAGACTAAGAGAGAAAAGCTTCATGGCTATGCCTTTAATTTCATTATATATTTTCAGGCATTTTAACTGACTCTGTGTCTGAAATACAAGTATATCCTTTCATTATTTAGTAGACCTATATTATCTTAGTTTGGCTAGAATATGAAAAAAACAGGAGAATGATAGTATTTTGCTGCATTTGTTCTTACTTCATAGCAATGTATTCATGTTTAAAGATATGTTTAGACTGAGAAAAAAAAAGGATATGATGAAATTATTTAGGTCATTTGTTTTGTGTAGGATTCAGATCTGTTTCGTTCTAACAAGCTTGGAAGAACATGGCATTTCCAGGCTCATAACTGTCCATCTTTGTAAATCTCTGCAGTACTCAGAGACTGTGGATCTCTGGTGCCAGAAACATATCCACTTGAATCCATGCCTCCTGAGGACAAAGTTGTTATACACAACAAGACAGAAATTTTCTGCATTGAAAAGAATTCCCCTTGTGTAACAGCAGGTCTAAAAAATATTTCTGCTTCCAGCACTGGTTCAGCTTCAGGGCAAAGCCTGAGCTTCAGGAGAGGAACTGTTAATACAATGTGAGCTTGGAGCTAAGGATTATTCAAACTCTTAAAAGGAACTAACAAATACCTCTTAAAATAAAAGGTGGAGGAACACAAACATAGCTCAGTTATTGGCTCCTCTCTGAGTGTACTTAAAACATTTGGCACTGACTGGTAATTCAGAATATAAATTTTAAAATCAGCTGTACAATCTAACTCTAAATACTTCATCTTCTCTGAGAAAAGGATCACTTTTGGGATTTTATGTGCATGCATCTAGGGGGAAATATATTACTAACTCTCCAAACAAACTGATGTGATTGAAGCACCCTGGTGAAGCCTCTGCTGAGCCTACAAATATTTTCTTTTTCTGTGATTAAACTTTTAATGTTCTTTACTACCCAACGCTGGCTCTAAGAAAAACAAAACAATGTGAAGTGTTTCTTTGTAAGTTATTTGTAAGTCATCTCAGGGTTTATCATGGTCTGGTGAAAAGACTGCAACGTGGGTTTTGTACCTGGGAATCCACCAACCCAAAATAAACCAGCTTCACTAGGCACAGGAAGAAGAGACAGAACAAGCAACAGGAAGTTTGGTTCTTGCCTGGCAAAGAAGACTCCCAGAGCGAAGAGCTCCCATCACTACAGCCCCTTGCAAGGTGCAGTGGAGCTCCCCCCACACAGTTGGTTGGGGGCTTGACTTTTTACCACCAGTGCTTCACCAGCAGAATTTTTTTAAAAAAAACACCTCGTCACAGATTTGATTCTGCCTTATTGAATTAATTGTGCTTAAATTTAAAACACTTAATAAAATCCATGGCATTTCTAAGTAACAAACAGCTGAATAAATTTATAATGAAAAGGATATGCTTTCAAGTAAAATAATTCTGAAAAAGAGACAAAGCCAAATTCATGTCATTTGAAGTGAAATAATTGTGTCCCTGGCTGAAGGGCAATATTCTTTTAATATGTAACATGGAATATTTATTTTGGTAACAGTAACAGAGAAATACTCGTCTAATTGCTAACAGTTTTCAAAAATATATTTGGACACAGATTTAAGACATATGAATTCCAGAGACTGAAGGGAAGAAGGATCTGCAAAGATAAGTCCTATCACATGGCTGACCTTCTCCCTATATACATGTACCTCTTTGTTCTTTTGATATCCAAGTCTGTAGTTCCCAAGTGATTCCAAGAACTAATGAGAAATTCCTGGAGAGGACATAACAATGAAAGCAGCTGGAAGATTATCCAACTCTTGATTTATTTTTTTCTTAAATAGAGCTCTCTTCCTCATGACAGTCAGTCTTGAACTGATTCTTTTATATCTCATGTTAGACTTCCACATCCCATCCTGGCCAAATGAACATATGTTTATTTTCAGATTTTCAGACTTCAGTGTCTTTTGAGTGCCGCTCAATTCATAAAATAAAGACTTCATGTTACCAAAACCTGGTGTGTCTGACCTTTTGCAGATTCCTAAAATCTTCACCAGGTAAGATTCTGTTACTGATAAGTAGCTCAGTGGAACCCTGTGCCTTTCTGAGAGCCTGTCAACTGAAGTGTTTGTTTTCTGGTGTGATAGGCACATCCTCCTATCCTGGTAGAGAGATTGGAAACATATTTTAAGAACTGCACTGTTTTGAAAGACACCAGTACTTCTACGGTAATGTTTCATCAGACATCCACCACAATCTAAATACTTTTTAAGGTGGTTATGACTCGGTATTTTAGGTTAAGATTCAGTTTGTTCTCCTGCAGCCCTAGTATTATCCTAATGCAGTTTACTTTTGCAGACTTTATTTTGTGATTAAGACGAGGAGTTGCACAGTGCTCCGTAATGCGGAGAATGGGCATTTTTATTATTTATATTGCCACAGCAACATAAACTTCATTCTCAGCAACAGTTTCTGACCTGACAGGGACTGTCACTTGTGGGTACCTTCAGTGCCCAAGTGTGCCTTGGAAAGTACCAGCTGAGATGGCAATTTCTGCGATGTGCAAACCTACACACCTGGAACTGGACGAAAAGAGTTGATCCATTTCACAAAACAGATGAAATGCATTTCAAGGCTAGTGGCCTTTCCTAAATGCACACATACTGGATTGAACTCAATATCTAACATCTGAAAAGCACGGGGCTGTATTAGCACACAGTATTACTGAGGAGATGCTGGCACTAACAGCTCTGGTTCTGGTTGGGAGCACACACACGCATGTTGCATTCTTCTTCCATATTGAGTGTCTATTCTGCTGCTATAATCTGATAGTAGACAGAGTGGAAGAACAGCAGACTCATATTTTCCTTTGAAATTATAAACATAAGCATAGGAGTTCTGTATTGCTTGGCACGGAAGCTGTGATTTTGTCTTTCTTGCTGGCTGGCTTTGCTTCGGACACTGACAGATTTTTTTCTGGATGATGGTGATTGGAAAAAATTTTCTATAAGTCTGGTAGACAGGAGCTGCACTTTGAAATGCCTATCACCATAGTATCTGGCCACATGCAATTACTAGGTGTGCCTTTACCTGCCTGCATTTTAAAGGAGTCTGTGAAGTTGATAGGTTTGAAATTATGCTTCCCCTTTTGTTTTGCTGTATAGGATGGCACACAAGCTAAGCACTCACCAAACGCTCCGTGGGTACAACGCATGTGAACCAGACTGCAGAGCCGGCGCTCTCATCTCACATTCAGAGTGACAGCTCAGGAGTGGAGCACACATTTACAAGTCCTATCTGATATCAGCATGCAAAAATGGAGCTAGACTGTGGAGAGGTCAATAAAATAAGCAAGCCCGTGTTTCCCACAATGTAATGCACATGTGGCTATTTGGCACCGATAAGCCAGATTGCTTCCCAACTGGTTATTCTCTGGAAACATTTTATCTGGGCAGGCATCTCGACACGAGCAATTGCTGGTGTGTCCTGAAGGCCTAAAGGGCATTTTGGTCTGCAGCAAAGGGAAACTGAGTCGGTCTGTATAATCCATATGATCTTCATCTACATGTGCAAAGTTCTTGATGGAGAATAACCAGGTGACAGGACAAGGGAAAGGCCAGACGATGTCAGCAGCACAACTGCTGTCACTTTGTTGAGTGAAGGACTGAAACCAGCAGCCCAGGTGGGACTTGTGGGGTCTCTCGTGACAACAGGACGTGCTGTCACTGAAGCTCCTGCTGCACTGCTGCTGCTGGGAGACCTCATTTGAAGACAGACAGACAAATTATTACTTTTCCCATTTGTTCTAATGATAAGGGGTTTGGAACTGCAATGCAAATCATGGCCCTCAGCATCCTTATCTGCGAGCAGAGCAGCTCATTGCAGAAGTTATAATGTATTCCAATCTAACTGGGCTTATTTATTCAGAGACACAGGAAATGGAAAAAGCAAACAATCCTGTCCTCTGCCATGGAACTCTATCCCTCGTGCAGCACTGACACGTCAACCTTCTCAGAACTGTTTTTCCACGAAGCCAAAAGGCCCATTGGAGTTCCCCATTTTTCCCTGTGCTGCCGCCACCATGTCCTGCTCCTCGCCCACCCCAGCTCGCACACACAGGCCCCCTTGCATTCACATCAAAGCTGCTCCGGTAATCCTCCCCGCCGCCCTACTCCGTGAATCCTGGCAGCTCCCCCGTTTTCCGTGGCGCCAACTCCACCAGCATCTGGATGGAGCTCCCCGGCCCTGCAGCCAAATCCAGCCTCGGCTGCTTCTTGAGCCTCGATCCCCTTTCTCGGCCAGCGGCGCTTCCGCGACAGCGACCCGGCCGCTCCCTGCTCCCACACCTTCCCGCCCTTCCCTGGAGCAGCCCCTTCCCCGGGAGAGCCCTGCCGGGCGGCGGGCCGGGATAAGGCCCGGCGCGGGCGCTCGGAGACACGCTCACCGGGCCGGAGGGGCCGCGGAGGGGCCGCGGGGGAGGCAGGGCAGGCCCGGCCGGCTCCTCCCGGCTCCTCCCGGCCAACTTTTCCTTGGATCGGAGCGGCTCCCGCGCCCCCGCCCCGGCACGTGCTGACGGTCGCGCGCGCTCGCACGCCCCCCGCGCGCCCCCGCCGCGCGCGCGCCCGGCCGGCCGCGACTGGAACCGGGCTCGTTCCCGGCTCGTTCCCGGCTCGATCCCGCCCCGCCCCGCGGGGACGCGCCGGGAGCGCCCGCCGGGACACGGAGCCTGCGCCGAGCGCTGCCCGCCCTCCCCCGCCCGGCACGCACCCGCCTTCGCCCCCGTCCGAGCGCAGCCGGCCGGGCCCCGCGAACGGCCCGCGCAGCGCGGCGGGCGCGGCCCCCTCCCCGTTCGCCTTCCCCGCCCGCGCCGAGGATGATGAGCCCCTACGGCCGGTGAGTGCGGGCCGGGCCGCGGAGGCCTCGGCCGAGCGGGGAGCGCCCCGGGCAGCGCCGCGCCCGCTCCGTGTGCCGATCGGGGGGCGCGGGGCGCTCTCTGCGCGGCGCTGCCCGGGCGGTGCCCGGCGGGGGCTGCGCCGTCGAACGCGGGTCCCCGCGGCGCTGCCGCCGCCCCGGGGGGCGCCCCCGGCCCTGCCAGCCCCTTCCCGGCCCTCCGGCCCCTTCCCGGCCCTCCCCGGCCCCGCCGCGGCGCGGGGGGCGCTGCGGCCGCGCCGCGGGGCCGCGGGCGGGGGTCGGGCCGGGCCGGGCCGCCGGGCCCGGCGGGTCCTGCGTGGGCAGGGCCGGCCCTGCGCTCTTTCCCTGCTTCCCTCCCTGCCTTCCCGGTGTTGTAATCCCGGGCCCGCTGCCGAGCGGCCCCGGCCGGGCCGGGTCTCGCGGGAAGGGTACGAGGAACGAGGTGCTTCGGCTCCCTTTTGTGCGAGCCTCGAGCAGAGCCGGGCGCCTGCTTTCCCAGTCGGGTTTTGCCGACGTGCAACAAAAAGCCGTCTGAAGGAATAATAACCCCTAATTCTCGCCCGTACGTCGGTAGTGAAAGATGGTGCTGTTGAGGACCGGCTAACAACGCTGTTTTCATAACTGATTACAAAATCTATTGAACGGGGTTCAAAAGCATGAGTGGCTTTTTACCACCTTTCAATCAACCACCCTCTGATGTTGTTTTGGTAAAATTAAGAGTGAATTCAGCAGCAGGGAATGGCAGTAAGTTGTGGTATTTCCTTTCAGCAGTCGCCTCTTATTTTGTGTCAAAAGTAGTGTGGTGGTTCTTCCCAGTGTAAATTGATTCCCTCCGAATTTACATATTTTGTTCTCTGCTTACAGGTAATTATCTTTGAGTTCTTTTATCGAGTTAGTGCGTTAGGGATTGTTCAGGCCTGTTACCTGCAGGGATAGAGAAGTTGCTTTTGTAGACAAGGAAGACTTGCCTGAACTGCAAGGCTTGCCTGGTTTGTAGTAGAACCTAGTCCTGGAATAACAAAGTTAACATGAGACAATGTACTTGTCCAGTCCACAGCCAGAAATACCCCGTGTTGTGGCACTTGTAGCACTCTGGATGAAACTCTTGCTGGCAATGTGTTGGTCTTTTGTTCTTGTACTTTCGTTCCTTTTGTAACTTTTTCTTAGGTTATGCACCACGTTTTGGGGAGTGTGTTTGTGTGTGTCTTCTGTATTTATTTATGTAAGACATACAACCTGGGAGGCTTTGAGTTCTGGTTGGAAATGATTCAGCTGCTAGTCCTCAGAATGCTCTGCTGGCTGCTCTGTTCCAGGGACAATGAATGTGTGTGGCTGAATTATTTTTGTTCCCTCAATTGTGAAGTAATTTAGGTTTGAAAGGGAGCTCTGGATGTTACCTGTTTGAGCCCCTGTTCAAGATAGAGCAGAAAGCTGTTGGCAAATTTCAGTCCTGAAATAGAATATTGCTGGGAATTCACCATGCAAATACATGTTTACTGAAACACTGGAGCTAGAGCACAGAATTTCTTAAAGTCAGTGTGTGGGACCCAAAGCCTAGTGTTTTGGATACTGCTGTGCAAGATCCTCACAGTACAAATTGTGTGCTTTGTTAGGAGAATCAAAAATACTGGCTATGGCAGAGTGTGGAGATGGTACATGGGCTTTATTTGGATACCAGCATTTAGGAATTAAGGATTTAAACTGTAAGTGACGTAACGAAGTAATAACTTTGTTTTTTATAGTAGTTGTTGTATTTACTGAACTACTCCAAGTCAGGGCTAACAAATTTTTAATCAGAATTTTGGTTTGGGATTGTTCAGCTGTGCAGTAAGCAGTGCCTGCTAACTTCTTCCAAAATGGACATGTGTTTGCCATGGATGAGTGTTACTCTGGTATGAAATGCCACGGAGTATTGCACTGCAGAGGGGGAAGGATTTCAAAGAAGCAATAAGTAGCCTTGTCTACTTTCCAGAGTCCTGGAAGGCAGGCAGATAATAGAAAACTTTTAAAAATTACTTATTTATTTTCCATGGGTTTAGAATTGTGAATTATGCTAATACTGGATTTGTTCAAGAACCAGTATACTGATGTGGCTATTGAATATGAAAAAAGTGGGAAACGACTTGTTACACATTTATTAACTTAGATTTTTACAACAAAAAGTCAGTGCAGGGTGTCTTCATAGAATCACAGAATCATTTGGATTGGGAAAGACCTCTAAGATTATCGAGTCCAGTCATTAACCCATCACTAAACCATGTTTCTAAGTATTTAAAATCAAAAAAATTTGTGAAAATAGTGATGCTAAATATGTCCTGATTAATGGAATCTCTCTTAAATTGTGCACTAGTCAGTGTAACTGAGACTTGATGGCCTTCCAAGGTGTGGTGGGCCACAAACATGTAGATAGGAGCATCTGAGCACATCCCCTTCACAGAAGGAACCAAAGAACAGATATATTGATGCTTGCATTGATTTAACCAGGTTTTCCCAGAGAAACAAACCCACCTTCCCCAAAGCCCTTAAAAGCAAGCAAACCAAAGGAAAAGATCCCCTCCTTTTCTTTCTCGTTGACCACTGTGGCTGGTAACATTTATGATGAGGACAGTACCTCTTTCCAAGGGCAGGTGAAGGTCCAGCACACAGTACCTTGTTTGGTAAATTGCTGAAAAGTGTCGGTGGATGAGTGAGACCAGGGAAAGTTTTACAAGTGTTTGTTTCTTCCTGCTTATGTCAAGCATCAGTTGAAGATCTGTCCTTTCTATCTGGAAACATATTTGGGAAAGCATCAGGTATTTCTTGGTTCTTCAGTAAAGGAGAGCATATTTTCAGTGCCTGGGACTTCACCAGGATCTTCTGTTTCTTATCTTACTGTAAGTTATCTCATCTTACTGTCGTCTGTAAATAAATGACAGAAGGAACTCAGTAATTTAAAAGTATATCACATCAGAGTCCTGTGTGGGCACAGATGGAATACCTGGAGCCTTGTTTCATTTGCTCATTTGTTTCATGTTCCCCAAACGCAGGACTTGGGGGTTGGGCACAGAGTGTGCCTCACAACAGGTTTTTCCTTTCACTGCAGTTGTCTCAGGGGTTCCACTTTTTTCTGGGCAGATCTTGGGCAAGATCTGCAGACCCTTCTGCGGTTGCTCCACCGCACTCGTGCTGGTGGTTCCCAGTTGCCACAGTGTCTTCTGTGCCTTCCACGATGGTTGTTGCTTTAAAGGGAAAATGGGATCACTTTCTGCCTGGCTTTATTGCAGTCCCTTAAAAGCTGCTGTGAAGTCTGTTGAGGGCTTACTACTCTAAGAAAGTGGTTTGACTTGTACTTAAAAATGTTGAAAACTGACAATGAATGTAAAACTGGCTCTATGATGTCCTTTAGCAGTAGTGCAGGGACTACATTAGGTGATCCTTGGAATTGGGTAAAAAGTGGAAATAATCACCTCATTTTTCTTCATTTTACAGAAAACATGATTTTAGCTTTCTGAATGCTCTTATTGAGAAGAGCTATGGAATGGCTATTTCGTGAGGGATTCAGTCCAGCAACATCTGTGCAGTACATTGTACTCTGGGTGTGTAAATCCCAAGAGGTTTAGTTTGATAAAATAAGTAGCTGGCCCACCAGTGACCAGGCAATCAAGTAGGAGACAAGCTGCCAGCTTGCCAGGATGGTCTTCATTGTGAACTGGCTTCTCAGCACCTCGCTGGGTTTGTTTACAAAGCATATTGGGTGTATCTGATGTCCATTTCCCATCCCTCCCCAAAGCAAAACAAAGCAATTATTCTGTTAGTCTTCCCTATATACTTTGGAATTCATTGTTGTAGCTTCAGGACACTGAAGCACTTTAGTTGTTGTGTACTTGATGTACTGAGAAGAACTTCACGTTGTGGTAGTGATAAGATGCACGTGTTTCTGGTTATGACCCAGGTGTTTCAGCTGTGCACAAATGGTGTGAGAAATACAGTAATTCTGTTTCAGGTTTGTCATCCAGGTAGTTTGATGGCTTGCTGTTTTTCTGACAGCTGTCTTGTAGTTGCTACCCCATTTCGTTTGAGGTCTGTGCATTTCAGTCAGGATTGCTACTGTTTTGTGATGGTCTGGTTAACAAAATTCAAACAAGTATTAGAGTAGGAAAATAAACTCCACTTCATGACTGTGATAACATTCACAGATTGTGTAGGCACAGTGAGAGACGGAGCCACAGCGAGTCCTTATTGAAGGTCAGGTGTGTTACTGCCTCAGCATTTCTGCAGTGACACCTGTTCTTACAGTGAAAGTGATTGGCTTGATGGAGCTCTTCTGTGAGTCACCAGCTGAGTCTGGTACCTGTGTTCTGTTCTGAATTCACTGGTGATTCTTCACTGGGGAGGGTAAAAGTGCTCTGAGTAGTGTGAAGGGTGTGTACTTGAAATGTTTCGAAAGGTTTTGATAAGACAAAAGTCTATGTAGTAATAGTTCACAGGGTGCTGTACCTGCAGCATGTGGCTGATTGCTCTGAGGCTTGCTTCTCCCCCAGAATAGAATTTCCCAAAACACAGAGGAAAATATACAAGGTTTAAATGCAGTTTTAGTATGTGATGAGTTGTCTGTGCATTCAGCTCTGCGGTGTTGTAGCGTAACTCGCATCATAACAGCAGCAATGCTTTTTCCAGAAATTAAATATCACAAGTTTTTACAGTGCCTCCTCAGATAATTGCATTACATGATGGCTTCAGTCAACTTTATTAGCATAAGATGTGGAAGCAACGAGCAATTCTTTGTGTCTGTATTCCCTCAGTTCACCATCTTAAGTAAGACTGTCAGTCTTACTGTGTTTTGGTTGATAAAAATGCAAGCATATGTAGCAGAGATAAGTTAAAGAAATATCAGTCTCAGAAGATCTGTACCAGGATAGAAACCTGAATCACGGAAACCACTTGCTTTTCTATTGTCTTCATAGTGTTAAATACTAAGAACTTTTCCTTGTCTTGAGAAAACA